TAAGAAATAAACAAATATTTTCTGAAACTATATTGGTCTTTTCAATTTTTTTAGAAAATCATTCAGTCCACTTAGTTGTCTATAATTAATACCAATATATTTAATAACTTTTCCAATAATTACATCTTTAATTATATTCGAAGTTTGTTTAAGAAATAATTCTAGTAATGGAATTCTTGAACATCTTATGGTAATCAAATACTGAATAACTTGTGGTAATCAAATACTTAATCAGCAGACCAAATTATTTATCTCTGAAGCCAAAATTATCAATAAAAATGGTTTAAGAAAGAAATTGATATATATACTGATAAGAAGATATTAAATAGATAAAATAGTTTACTTTTAGGATTCTTAACAAGAAAGAGAGATGTTTAGGCTTAAATAATATGATATTAAAGATTATTACATTATTTAAATGCAATAAATCTTTTATAAAGATAGTTTAATAAAAGACAAATTAAAGAATTATCTTTACCCTTAAAAGGCAACTAAGCTAAAGTTTTTATTAGACCTATTTGATTTCAAGTTAGAAATTAGGCAGGATTGTACTTATTAAGAATTCTATTTGGAAAAGGATGATAGAGAAATTTAAAACTCAAGGTATTTAATTTTATTTGAAGTTGTTTAATTCAATTCATTATTTTCTTTGCCATCAACTCAGATTAAGCAAAATCTTCTAAAGAACTCTCATTTTTATATAAATTATATTAAGTTTACCCTATCAAACAAACTAATTCAAAAATCAAGGTATTGGACAGCAGCACTTATCTCTATCAAATCAAATGGCTTAGCAATAAAGTAATCCATTCCATTTCGAAAGCAATCTAATTTTTAATTTAATCCTGCAACAGTAGCTGTGGCTATGGCAAAGCCTTTGTCTAAATTTCCTTATTACATATTCTATTTAATACGCTAGACAAAGTCAATCCCACTCATTCCCTAAATATTTGTCAAAATAATTACAGGTAGGTTTATGTCGATAAAGTACAGTAAGTAATAGCGATTTCCACAATGACAAGGACGACCTCTTTTTATTTCGATAATGTCTAATCCTTCTGAACCAGTAAATCCATAATCACATTTTATATCGTATTTCTTAAGTACTTATTCTAAAACTATAATCTAAAAGCAGTCATTATCAAGTATCAATACTTTGGAACAGCAATTATTCCGAAGTCGATATTTAATAACTTAAGTGAGTAATTTTGGATTAAATTCAGGGAGTGATATTTAATTAATAGTTTATTCAGCTGCACCAAAATCAATTGCAGTAAATGTTCTTTGAGACTCATCAGGAGAATCTATTTTTCCTACAACACTTAGATTGTTTTTATTTAACAATTTTGTAATCTATTATATACTATCTTATTGAATTCCTTATTTGTAAGTTCCAGAAAAACTCCCACTTTGTTCTCGAGATTATTTATGTATTGTTCCACTATTTGGAAGTACTCTCGAATTTGAGGTATCTTGTCTTATTTTTGAGAGTTGAGAAAAATAGGCACTTTGTAAATCTATAGGATCTGTTGGTTTTATTGAAAATTATTTTGATAATTAAGTAAATGATAAAAGTTTTGATTCACCTCCTCCACCTTAATTGATATTGTCTTATAAAAGAAGTGACAATGAGGTTTCTAAGTATTTTTTTTTACCAAGTACCTTAATAGGTCCAGTGTCTGAGTTTGGATATCTCATTTAAGTATTCTGAGATTCAATAACAAAAGTAAATGTACAAAACCCTTAGCTATCAATAAGAAATTCTAATCCTCTTTTAAATGACCCAGATAATTACCAACAAAGTACTATACACATTTATAACTCTAAGGGGTTTGATAAATCTAATTCATTTACAGATTTTTAACTCTTTAATTACTGATTTAGTTATTTCGTTAGATTCATGATTTTTTACTTAGCAATTTCATCGAAATCAGATTTGGTATCTTTAATAGTGATCATGATTCCTTATAATGTATAACTTTTGATATCAAATTTAATAGAACTCCTTGAAGAAGATTACAAACAATAATGCAATAGGCATGAAATGATTTGTTTAATCTAATGAATTATTTAATAACAATTACTCTATCTTGATCACTAAAAATAATAGTGTTTCCATCCTACAACTCTATATTTGTAGTTAATTTGATTTACTTCATTTTTAATAAAGGATCAAATGTCTAAAGCAAATCATCTATTAAATCTTCAATTCGAATCGCATTCATTTTAAAGAATAATTCATTTTAGAAATAGAATATATAATCCCTCATAGAGTATAGAAAAAGTGTAAATCTTTATGTTTGGTATCTCATATTTAATAATGTATTAGTAGTATATTCTTCTTTTGCTTTACGATTTAAGGACTAATTATTAGAAAGAATGATTTACCGTCGTTGTTTTACTGCTGCCTTCACTCATTTATGAATCATTGTGATGAGTAAGCAATAAAATGTATGTCAAAATACAATTGACATAATTAATACATTCATGTGAATATATTGTATAAATGTTCTATAGAATTTAGTTTGGTTCTTAATTATAGATTTTAGGTAAGACAGGAGCCTATTCAAGATTGAAAAGGACAAACTTATGCCCATCAATATTAGTTATAAAGAGTTTGATTTGAATGCCATCTAAATCTAAAAAGTCATTCTTCACTTTAAAAATTGTAAGAGTGAAGAATCTCCATCTATCTCACAGAAATAGAATTACTTTTCAAAATCTTTAAATAAACATGAAATTAATTCTCTGATTGTAAATTAGCCTTTTATCTTACATTTGTGAACTTCGTTAATATTGTTACATAGAAACGACCCACTAATTTTAAGTAAAACATTTTACTCACTGAAAATAGAGTCACTGTACCCAGATTATCCTAATAATTCATTTATTTCTTTGCAACCAATGATAATAGTGGAATCTAAGAACAGTAATTCACAATCGAGCTTATCTCCTATATTCCTTTGTAGTTTGCCCAAATAAAACGTTTGGTAGATGATACTTAGATTTCCATTATAGATCAACACTGATTAATTTGAAAGCCACGACCTTTTATTTTTTTTGTACTCATTAGTACATATTTGTCATGATAATGTCATCCTCATTCAAATTATTACTATTCAACTATAATGGCTTTATTTCTGATGAGGAAAATGCTTTAGATTGTTCATCCAATTATTTAATAATCTCTTGCGATTTGGCTTAAAATGTCGGAGGAGCATCAGGAATCTGCTTAAAGGATTTTGATAACGATAATTGTTTTGGTTCCTTAGTTTAATAAAACTTAATTTTCATTTGCAAAAATACAAGGAACCAATATAGATAATAGATCACGTTTTCAGGTGCTTGAATTAAATTCTAAACATCGTGCAAAATACTTAATAAACCATAATTAACAAGAAGTGCTATCTTGATTTCATACTTCATTTCTAAATGGTTGATCAGAATCAAATATAACTAAGTGTTTGATACTGAATATTGGAACACAATCAGAATCAAACGAAATGACAATAAAAAAGTAAAACATCTCTTTATTTCTCTATTTAATAAAAGATTGTAGATTCTGACAAACCCAATTACTATAGTCAAGAATACATTCAAACAAGTGAGCACTATTATTGTTTGATTACTACTTAATCTCTTAAATATAACATACAATTTACCAAACCAGTTACAACTGCAATTAACAAGAGTTCCGATAAAAGTATTTCAAATATTTTTTATTTCATTTATATCATTAAAATGGTAAGAATAACCACAATATGTAGTCTTCACGTGACCCTTATCACCAAAACCCAATGATCTTTTTTGATGGCTAGAAAAAGAATGTTATCAAAGTTTTTGGCAGTAACTTTATTATTACTCTTTAGACAACTGCAAAAATAATCATCAATTTAGTATAGGCTGGGATGTACCATCTATAGGAACAGTATAAAGAGTATCCAATAAAGTAGGAAATGAAACTGGATTTTTAATCCCTGACTACACTGTGATCACTTATAAGAATATCAATAAAGATTCTAAGACTTAGTTACCTTAATCAAATTTATAATCGCCTAATAAATTTGCCACTTTGGCTTAAAAGAACCTAGTCTAAGATAACTATAAAAATGAAATTATAGTCTAAAGAAGCATCAATAATAGTATTGAAAAGTTTAAGTCTGAAGACAATCTTAAAGAATAAACTAATAAATAAATCAGAGATATTTTAGCTAAATAAAGAAGAGAAAACTAGCAAAATTTTAAATATAAATCTTGATTAAGCTCTATAATAATTACTAGTGTATGATCATTATTATATAAATAATAACATTCCTATGAATTATTTTATTTTCTAAATAAATCATCAACTTCAAGTATTCAGCTTAATAATTATGTTAAATATTAATATTATTTTAATTATTTAAGATGAATGACAAAGAAGACACTATTTATTAGTCTTTTATTAATTCAGAAGGAAGTTTACCATATGAAAATCAGTTTGAACAATGCTAACAATGCGTATAACTATAGAAATATGTTTATTAATTGGAATAGGAAATTTCAGAGTTAAATAAATTGATGTAAACTTAAGTAAATATTGAAAGAGAAATAGTCAAAGAACTAAAAACCTTAAAATATATAATTACCCAAAAAATTATCATATTGTAAATTATAAAGTGTCAGTGTGAGACATCATAGTCATTAACATTTAAGCAAGAGTCTTCATGAAGACTAAAACTAAAATACAAAAAGTATGTTTACAAGTTCTGGACATTAGAAGAGAAAGATTTTCGATGAAGTAGAGGAAAAGACAAGCACAAAAGCCCTTTAATTTTATAAATTGTGAAATTTTATATAAGATTATCATATGAATGATTAGTTCAAAAATTCTTTATATTACTAGAATGTGATCTTTGAGGAGCAACTCTGTAATTGATATAAGAGATTGAGGGATGATGACAGTTCACTATTGATTCAACAATTCTATTGGGACTTCTGCCAATTCTACTTTTACTTTGTTCTTGACGAAAGGTAGATAATTACGAATGAAGAGACTCAATCAACTAATCCTTATTTAATAATTAGATTTTTGTATTTTCTATATCTATCCTTATTTGTTATTGCTATTTGATTTAATCTTACAAGCTCAATCTATTTTTTAATAATTGATCTTAATAAAATTGATTCTCCTTCTCCAACTTTCTGATCTAAACAAGAAGTTCAGAAATATTGATCTGTTATTTCTTGTTAGACTCTTTCAAAATTTATATTTAATCTAAATGAATGATAACTTTACTTTATAAACTTAAAACCAATTAAGATTATTAGAAGAGTTGTTATTGCAATTTTATAATTGTTTCTTTATCCTTATCCTTATTCTATTGTTCTATCAAATTCACGAAACATAATTAATTATTAGCTAATCTGTCAAGATTAAAACATTACTTAATTTCATCTCTACTTTCGAATCGAAAATGGAATCTTAACTAATCTTCCTATTTGAGCAATTCTCAGTAGACTTATCGTCTTTCTTAGATGGACTTATAACTTCTTCATGGAAGAAATATCTTTTCTAAGCAATTATTTTTAAAATAAAATACCTCTTTTGCTTGAGGAGACTTTGGTTCAACGAATGAAGGAGAAGCCAAAGCTTAATTTGAATCTATAAACATTTCATGTATTTAGTGTTTTGTCAGATAAACATGAGAATTCATAATGAAAAAATTATTAAATTTATTAATCTTATCTTGTTTTATTCACTTAAATGATTGCAAAAGGAATTGAATCTAAAAGTCTGATGAAGAGCATTTTATTAATTCATATATTTTAATATATCTCTTTCATGACAATACTCTTTATTTACAAGTAGGCTTTAGTAATGCAAAATTTTTGAACAGGCTACAGGAGTCTGTTATTTTTACAATTTTTACACTGAATTGAAATATTTATTGGATCTTTTTTTAAAATAAGTTTTGTATGCTTTTCCATATATATTTTTAAAATAGATAAATAGTATTAAATTTCTTCTTGAATTAAAAAAATCTCTAGAGCAAGAGAATAAGGAATTATTGAATTTACAAATGTTATATTTATTAATTCCAAAGTTTAATAATGGAGCCCCTAAATAAAATTTTAAAGGGAGATTTAACAATATTAAAGAAATCTTGAGTTTAAATGCCAGTTTATATTTTTTACTTAAAAATTATGAAAAAAAATTATGCTTTGCAGAACAGTTTTTATACTTATTTTGTTTCTCTAATTTAAAAAAACTTGAATACATAAGATGCTTTGCTTTTGAAATGAAAAATTTAGCAACTCAATTTTTATCTTAATTCCAAAAATAGTTTTTGATGATTGTTATGATTATATCATATTTGACTTTGAATTCAAGAACAAGTCAAGATCATAAATTTCAATATTATATAATTTCATTTTTAAATATTAATTGGTGAAAATCTCATTATAAATAAAATAATTTATAATTTTAGAGAGAGAAGAAATTAGTTACCAAGTATTCATTTAAAACTGTGAGAAATTGAAGGGAATAAACTTAATTAATGAAATGAATAAACTTATTCTCTGCTTGAATCTAGTAATGAAAAAAATCAATTATTAACATCATTAATACTGATATATATAAAAAATATAACACAGGAATTAATTCTTATAAGTTTAAGAGAAATTTATCAAAAAATAGAAATGCCCTTCATATCTGCTGAAGAAAGAAGCAAATCAAAATTAAAAAACTTAATTAATCAAGATCATCACAATAAATATATAGCTTATTGAATAGAAGATTTGTAATAGGAGAAGTGCAAAAAGAAAGTTTATCACAATAAAACCAAATGATAGAAGAGGAAGACATTGAATATATATAAATTGAATAAATAATTATTATTAAAACGGATGAATTCATATATTTGATTAGTAATAATTATGCTCAATTAATATGAGCCTTTAGAATAGCCAGGAGTAGCTTTGAGCATAACTGAATATCCCACAAAATCTGAAATCTAAGAAGTAGTTTCGAAAGAAAAGTAGTCTCATTTGTCAGATATGTAAATTGAACAATAATTTAGATTACTACTTCTAATTATCATATTTTATTTGATTGTAGTGATTTCTTTTTTTGTGGTATTGGGCACATCACAAGAATTCAGATAATTTCTGTTTGACTTTTTTAATGATAACTATGAAAATGGTAATTAATAATATTGATTTTGCTAAAGATGTTCATGGATTGATTTATATTGGAGCTTTTGAGTTTTTATTGATTATAACTGGATTTGATATATTTTTGATGGATATTTTATTTGGATTTTTCATTCGACCATATTTAACAGCTTTTGGTTTATTATTTGCAACTAAAATGGCTGGAAAGTAATAATAAAATGAATTTTAGATTTTTATGTTTTGCTTTAGTAAAATATTGTTTTAGAGAAGAAATTTATTAAGCATTTAAAGGGAATATATTTTTCAAGACTTTTTATATAGCAGCAAAAATAAACCCAATAAAAATCTTAGCAATTTTACAATTAATCACATTACCTACAGCATTTAAGACATATGTTGTTGGTGTATTTGCAGTCAGTACTTAATAGTACTTGATAGTTACATCAATTAGTAATTTTATATGGACTGGTTTTTGGGTTCATGTTGGAGTTTAAGCAAAGAATGTAAAGACATTTATTGAGACTGGAAAATCATCAGATATTATGCCTTTGTAAATACAAATGATAATATTAATTGGAGGAATATGTGCTTTAGGATATTTGTTGAAACTTACTAATTAAGTTTACTAAGCTATTGTATAAGAAGTTCATGGATTGGAAAAGAATATAAAATGAATAAATTTAATTATATAGAAATTAATATCTATAAATTAATATAAAATTAATATAAATTTATGAAATCACCTGTTCGAAAAGAAAAGAAACACTAAACTCACAATCCATCTTCTTAATAGGATTAATTTTAATAAAAGCTGCTTTATCCAGGATAAATAATTGCAGGAAGATTTAAATTAATTGAGAAAATCGGACAAGGTAGTTTTGGATCGATTTTTAAGACTGAAAACATAGAGACAGGTGAAATATGTGCATCTAAATTTGAAAAGAGAGAATCATCAAAAAATAATGTGAGTTTATTAGTAAGAGAAATAAAGATTTTGTTGGAATTGAAAGGAATAGTAGGTATATGAATGATTTATGTAAGGATTTCCTTAGATTTTACATTATGGAAGAGATGAGAATTACAATTTCTTTATGATTACATATTTGGGTTAAAATTTGGAATACTTGATTAGAAAAACTAAGAAGTTCTCATAAACAAATTGTCTAAGAATAGGATTACAATTATTAGAGAGAATAGAATAATTACATATAAAGAATTTGATTCATAGAGATTTGAAACCAGAAAATATAGTCATAGGATGGTAGGATATTGATGTTGTATATCTAATTGATTTTGGATTATCTAAATATTACAAAGACAACCATGGAAATCATATTCCAATGGTTGATAAGAAAGGTATAATTGGAACTGCTAGATATGCTAGTATTAGTGCACATTTAGGTGAGAAATCTTAAATGTAATTTTAGGTAGAGAGTAATCAAGAAGAGATGACTTAGAATCTTTAGCATATGTACTCATATATCTGAATAAAGGTAAATTACCATGGATGAATTTACCTATCTAAGATAAATCTCTCAAATATAACAAAATACTTGAATAAAAATAAACTATCTCTCATGAAAAATTATGTGATAATTTACCTAAATGTTATTATCTTTTATTACAACATGCCAAATCTCGAGAATATACTGAATAACCTAATTATAATTTTATTAAAGAGTAATTTTCAAAAGCATTAGGTGATTTAGAATATATTGATAACATGTCTTTTGATTGGGAGAAGTTACCTGAAATGAGATCTAAAAAATCAAGAAGATCTAATTCATAAAAAAAACAAAATGATAAAAAACCAAGAATCTCTATTACCAAAGAACAAACCATTATTCAAGAACCAAAATTATAATAATAACAGCCTCCTTTATAAGTAACTTAATAATAAGCTCAATAAAAAAGTCAGGTTTCCTTTCTCAATGTGCCTGATCTAGATAGTTTATCTCCAGATAAGTAATCAGGACTTGAGAAAAAAAGTAGAGGGGTAAAGTATTATTAATCATTCAGTATTTAAGTAGAGGTAGTGCAGGTACTACTAGGTTGATGAATTATGATCTTAGTTAAATTGAGGAGGATGAAAATGATGGAGACAATCAGAATAATAATACGCCATATATTAATTCAAAAAAATAGAGAAAAGATTTAAAAAGCTTTTCTGTAATGACAGAAAATTAAGTATTAAAACTGACATCTTTTTGCAAACAAGCTGGTAAAACTATAAAAGAACAATAAATTCAAGAATTGAATTAATTCTATGGTTCGTTTGATAATCTAGATCTTATTGCAAATGATGAAATAAACATCTAATTTAACAATATTGGAGCTTTTTCCTTTAAAAAGCATTGAATCTATATTTATACTATTTAAAATTTTAATAAACTGTAAATCAAACCAATAAAAAACTTTTTACTTGAATGAACATAATTAATTTTAATTTATTATGATATTATATTGCTACAAATTCAATCATAAAGAATCAGTTTATGACAAAATATGATGTTGTTTTAAAAAAGTATTTAAAAGGAAGGCACTTTAAGAGAAAAAAGATAAAACTCAAATGAATTCAAATAAATAGAGACCTCAAAAATAATGAAAACTATTAGTAATTATAAGTGTTTAGAATCTAAAGGACTACTTTAATAGTGTTTAATTCAATTAAATAAAGATACATCATCTAATTATAAATTGTAAAACGTAGAAGAATATAATCAGTTTTATATTCCGCATCTTTTTAACTAAAAATTTTAATAAAAAGGGATGCATCTAGATCATTAATTAGTTAAAAAAATTCCTGATACCAGATGAAATATCTAGTATTTAAATAAGATGATTGTGACCTTTCATTTTTAAAAAACGATATTCTACAACCAATGATAATATATAATATTAATTTCATATTCAAAAAATATATTTTTTGTTCATATTAAATAATTTTCCTTACATGATTTATTGCGTTTCAAGAACTTACTCTAAAACAAACAAAATACAGCATCAAAAAAGTTCTTCTATTAGTACAATTAATTCAAAACCACCTGAAACTAGCCATAATTCAATTCACAATTTTTATGTTTCTAACAATATGATGCTCAGTATTTTAACTGTCTCAGGTCAAGAATCATCCAATAATTAGTCATAAATAACCTAAAACACTTAAGATGAAGACAATTAATTTTATTCTTACAGAAAATAATTGTAAAAATAATTGTCTGAAAGGAAGGTCAAAAGAAATTATGATTTAGAACCATAAACTAGGGAAGACTTTTCAAGATAATCAATTCACATACCCGTTTAAATTGAACCATAATAATATCAAAGATAAAGTAGTAGGACTGTTCCAAATCTAGTACAGATATCATCAACCCCTACTAAAGTCTAAAAATTAATCAATCCTTTGATATTTAACTCTTGTTCAAATGAAATCTCTTTTGGGTAATACAAATTTAAAAAAAATGAAATCTTATAAGATGAAAATTCAATGTCAAACATTCAAGATGATAATACACAGATCCAGATGCCGATGAAATTTTAACCATTTCAGTTTAAATTTTCTTAATAATGACTGCATTTATTAATTGTATTAAAATTCTCATTTGTATATTATTCATAATTATTTATCATATTACATTACTTTGAAATAAATTTTTATTAAAATTCAAGCAAATTCATGTTCCTCTATAACTGATAAAATTTAATCCAGTTATTTTAATAAAAATAATAATATCCTCAAATCCCTTCTTCTATATATTTAAAAACAACCATTTCCTACTAAATTAAATAACTATGCTGAACAAAATTCTTAGCCAATATTCAGAATATATTTATTTAAAAAATATTAAATCATAACACAATTTAATTCACCATTTTTTTTTTAGAAATCCTACTACTTTGCTAGATATTCCACTATCATCTTATTGATTTATTTATTATTGTTTTGTAGTTTAAGAATTCTCACTAAAATATGAATAAATAACATTACTTCAGAGATGTGTCAAAAAGGTCTTTCATTTCAGTCAATTTCATTAATAAATCCTATTAATTAGAGCTATAGAATAATAATTTAATAGTACTTATCTTTAAATTATTTCATAAACTTTAAAGTCTCTTCTAAAGTATTGAACATTTCTTCAGCCTATTAGATAGGAATAGAAATAGAATTTTTAACTGTAGCTTAAGTTTTATCCTTTTTGGATTATTATGCCTGTTCTTCTACTTAAAACTATGTTTTTATAGTTTTAGTATTAGTAGTAGATAAACTAGAATCAAAGAAATTTGTAGTGATTGAAGATTAATTGTTACTTTGAGTTGTTTAAGAGATTGTCAATGCTTATTATTATTGTTATTAATATTAAGGCTAGATTGACAGTGATTATTACTGAGACTTTTATTATTGAGGTATTTTGTTTGGTTATAATGGATTAAAGAATTTTTATTAATTTTAATTTGTTTTTTCAATAGAGTTATCATCTTTGTAAATCAGATCTTCATCTCCTTTCATTTTAAATTAAGGTTTTTCAGAAGAAATCTTAACAACTTGAGCATCTACTCCTTCAATTTTGTCTGTAGGTTGTGCAAAAAAAACAGAATTGAATTGTTTATCTGAATAAATTGATGGTTAATTTGATTCATTTTAGTCATCCAAATTATTTGAAGATTTTTAATTTAATAAAATGGCTCTTACATTGATGGCTGCTTCGAGAAGAGCTGGTAAATTAGAAACTGGAGGATATTTGAGAAATCTTTAATAACATTAACTAGAATCTTCCATTTCCATTACTATATAAATTAATAACTTTATTTACATGGCTGTTTGACATATAATATCATAGCAATAGCAATGCAATCAACAAAAAAAAGAGTTTCTGTTTTTTACTCATAAAAATCATAGAAAATTGCATCCCATGCATAAAATGATTCTATTAAATGTAACTCTCTTGTAAACATACATCTATAGTAATTATAATTAAAAATACCTAATCCATTTTAATAAAAATATTTGGAATTCCACTTGTAATAATTTGAGATGCCTAAATAAGGGCATCTCTACTTATTTCAAGAGAATATCTTAAATTTTAGAAACTCTTGTTAAAATGGCACTTGGCTTTTTACTTTATAATTTAATTTTTTATGCTTCAGTATAATTTGGTCTAAACATTTCCATATGTTGAGCCTCATTCATCAACTTCTAGAAAAGTGTATAGATGTCAGCTTCTGCATATTCCCATGAATTAAATTATAACAAGATTTATTTGTCTTCATCTGAAGCCTTAATGATATATAAATTAATATACTCCTAGTATTTTTTCAATCTCATCTTTGTATAGAGCTTCTCGAAAATACACATAAATCAAGGATGCTGCAACTTCATTCATTCCTTATCTATATGAAATTTCACTATTTTCTTTGCTCCATATAAATAATATGCTTGTCAATATTTATAACACCTTCTTATTTGTAAAAAATTAATTCTCTTAATATGTTCTTTCGACATCTTTTTTTATTTCATTTCTTAATTCAGCATCTTCCATAGGGTTTTGTGTTGATGTCTTAATTTTAGATGCACCTCCTAAAGGTCCTCCTAATGGTCCTCCTAATGGACCACCTAAAGGACCTTTTTTTGGTTAATCTTCAATTTTAGTTTTAGATGATACTTCTTAAGATCTCTAATACTTTTACTCTAATTATTTATATGTTTCTCTTGTCTTTGTTAACTTACCTATCTTTTCAAAGATAGTGTCTTCAATCGAATAAATGCTAAATCCAAATTTTAAAATACTTAAAAAACAATCTCCATAAATTAAATCTCTACCCAGTATTGTCCAATCTACAATATTTTATTAATGTTTCAATGTCTGAGATCTCATTATTGATCATGTATTTGTGAAAATTCTTCACATTAAAATGATGACCGCTTATATTATATTACTAAATCATATACATTAAATTTTTGAGTTGTGTTATTGCTTCCATATAAAATAATTTTTATTTATTTATTTATTTTCTCAAACAAGAACTATAACTATTTATTTCAAATTCTTTTTGAATTTCTTTTCAATCATTTCATCTACTTTCTATAATATATTAAATTTACATCTTTACAGAACTTAATTTATTTTTGATAATTCTGATCTTAATTTATTGAAACATAAGTAATACGCTTACAATTCATATATATAATTCAAATAAAATCAAATTTTTTACCTTATCCAATTTTGATAGATTCTAAATCCTTCTATATTGACATATTCTTTTTCAAATGACCTTTAAGATTAAACCTGTACATATGTTAAAAAACATCTATAATTTAATGAAAATAACATTCAGTTTAATAATTTCATCTTAATTTCTTAAATATACCTAATTAAAATAATGAGGCTAAATTTAGATAATTTTTGGTAAATCAATCAGAACATAGAATTAAAATCATGATATCTAAATAATTACTGGATTAAGGCTCAAAAAATTTGGTTTAACCTTAGAAAAATCTTTGAGATCATCCAAATTTATCATTATAATCTCCTCACATTCATAAAAATTTTCTTATTATCTTTTTATGTTTTCAACAAAAAAATCAGATTTTAAAATTAATTCATTAAGTTTCAACTAATAAATAAAAAAATTATGGAATAAAGAAAGAGGACATACTTAAATTTGAGGGAAAATAAAAGATATTTAAAATTAGCAAAAATTTCATAAAATTCAGTAATATATGTATCAAAAATCTAAGATATTTAAAGAATTAGAAGAAGATAAGTAGAAAGATTTAAAATCATGTAAGATTTCTAATTCTTTAAAAATCTTAAACAAAAAAATAAAGTTTAAATATAGATTAAAGATTTTTGCAGAAATCTTCCACCAATAAAATTTGAAATAGCAATTAATTATAATTTTAAAATAAAAAAAAAATTAAGTATGATTTTGAATCAAATTATAAGATTTTTATTTGGGTTTTATATTATTTATATTTTCTAATTTTAATCATTTAATTTGGCTTAAAACATTAAATATTTTTAAGGATCAAGAAATTTTTATGATTTGTATTTGACTTAACAATGGAATCAAATAAAAAAGCAATCTTGGGTTATCAATGACAATAATTAAAATTTAATTTTAATTTTTTAGGTTATTAAGCTATTGTTTATTTTCATACTTCTTTTTAACAAATTAATTTTCCTCTTTTTTCGACCATATTTATTTAATTTCCTGACCCTGCAAAATTATTTTATATCGATCTAATTAAAGTTGCTCTGTTATTATAGAATAGAATTGTGTATATAATTAATTTAAAGAATGAATAAATTTTTTTTAACATTTTAAGATGAAGAGATAGAAAAGCACTACTAGGATAATAAACTAAAAACTCTCTAATAACCTATTTTTTATTGGCTTCTTGCTATGACATTTGCTTTAAACCTATTTAAAGTTTGTCTTGACTATGCATATTATTCAGTGGATAATTCAAGTTGGATGAATATAAGTTTTTTATCTTTAACAATAATTGAATTATTCTTAGCATGCTACAAAAAAGAATACATAAAGTATGCTTTAATAATTTCAAACCTTTCAGCAGGATTGTTGCAAATTAATTTTAATGAAAATAACACTTTTCCTTAGGAATATTATTCTTATGGTAGCTATTATGCCATGCTATCTGTAGTTGTTTATTTTATGACTGATTTTCCTTACAGCCTTTTTTAGGTGATTGCACATTTGAGTATGAAAATCTTTTTTACTACCATAAAAAGTCAAAGAGTTGATATGTTAGGAGTAGTCTTAGGACTAATTACAAGTGTGTTCTTAGTTTTAACATTATATATTTGTGATTGGAATTCCAGAAGATAATTCTTACTTAATTTGAGAGAAGTTAGATGGGAAGAGTCTTTACCTATTATTATCAAAAAACCTTTTTTTTTATTTTCTTATAAAAACAAAAATATGTCCTTTTAAGTCAATAGATCTTTAAATCATGAAATCTTTCCCTATTTTAATTCAGATGATTGCAGTGGTTGTAATTTCAGATTTTTATTAAGAATATGCAAAGTAGAAAATAATAATTTAGAAAATTACTTATTTAATAAAAAAAATGAATAATTAGATTTAGACTTGGTATATAAAAACAAAACTCATAGATTTGAACTAAGAATTTGCTCTATAGGATTGGATAAAATTTATTATCTTCTAATTTTGAAGAAACTTAAATCATTGGAATTAAATTACATTCCTAAATAAACAAATATTCGTTAAAAGATATTTCAAATTAAAAAGACACAAATCAAATATTAGCATTAAAAACATTTCTTACTTGGTGTATTTTCAATGTTTCTCTATAACAATAAAGATGTTTCTTCAATAAATTTAGTTGATATTTTTAAAAAATTTAGCAGTAGATACTACATCATATCTAAATAAAAAATACATGTCTTTTTCTCAGATAGACCAGTTTTCTAAATAATTACGTATAAACATCAGTTAATAATATTTTTAATTTAACTATTTGATTGTTTAATTAATAATTAAGTAGGTTCCAATCAAGAGATTAAATTGTATCTAAATCAAGAATTATATTCTATTCGATTGAAAATTTTGATATACCATCGATAATCATTTGAAGAACAATGCAAATAAAATTTTTTCATCTAGGAAATATAAAGAAATATTTTATCTGAAGAAATTGATGAGAGATTAGAATTAAGTTTCTTGAAAAAAGTTAGAAACTCTCAATCTTTAATTTGAGTTTTTATATTGATTAATTCTGTTTGTTATTATTTTATTGAGCATTTAAATTTATAGAGTATTTCACTCTTGGATTTTTTATTGAAATTATTTATTATTTATTAAAATATAAAATTTCTAGAATATAGATTTGTTATAAAACATTATCTTTTTCCTTTTAATAATTTATTCAAAAGTAACAAATAAGTAATAAATCATAAAAAAAAAATGCAACATTACATATTAAGTGCTAAGGTAAATATTAAGAGTTATTCTATTAATATATATCAGTAATTTTCGGATTAATTTTCTTATTATCTATAAGAATCGCTGTGAAGATGTCTATAAATAATTGAGTTAAGCTAAGGTCTTTTCTTTTTATAATCTGGAGAGAAGCCTCTTTCTTCAACAATTGATTATGCTCTTACTCTTTTAGTAGTTAAGAAGTCAAAAGACTATAAATCAAATGCTAGATTCTTTTGATTCTAAATAACTCGATCTGGTTAACATCTTTTTAGTTTGATCAAGGGAGATAAATCATTTACTAAGAATTGTTGATTGTAAGAAAACTTTAATGTTTCAGTATTTTCAATGTTTTGTTTAAAATTTTTGGATTCTTTAAATTATTTTGAGGGAGATTTGTATTGAAGTTTTATACCATGTACTCCTTGATCTAATTGGAAACAATATTGATAAGTAAGTTATTCTGGCAATTAAATTTTTCTTAAATTTTCATTTGCAAATAACTTATTATTGAAACTCTACTCTACCTTTTTCATTTACAAGTGTTTAGAATTACGTTTAATTGCAGTTCCAAAAAACCCTTGATGATTCATTTTGCTTTTTTTGATATTTATTTATTAATAATTAATTGAATTTGCAATTGTTTTTAATAACATTAATTTATTAGTAATGGATTAATAATAAAAAAAAAAGTAAAAGAAGCAACAAGTTCAGAAGATTTAATTTCATTAATTGCATGAATTTGCTGGGTTTTAGGTTGCAAAAAATGTCCATGAATTAGAGCCAGAACCTCAAAGAAGAAAACCCTAGTAATTGACTTAATTGCAAGTACAGCATCGCCAACAATTATACATGAAATCCAAATTTCAATTCGTTTTACTTTAACAACCTATCAGTAAAAAGAGACATTCTATATTATCAAAGAAGAAGTGAGGTGGGATGATGTGTATTAAGTAATTTACACGACAACCCAAGATATTACTTGTCCTATTTGTATAAGTGATCATGACATCATTATTCCTTACATTACACCATGTGGCCATATTTATTGTCTTCCATGTTATCAAAGACATAAATTGTAATGTAAATTAATAATTCTTTAATAATTTAGCGAAATTTAATTAAAAGTGTCCCCTTTGTGGAGAATTGGCTGTTATGAGTGAATTGAAATCCGTTAAAATTATCAAACATAAAATTAAAAACTCTGGAGACGCAGTACTTTTAAATCACATTTAAAGATATAAAAACGAAACTTAATTATATATTAATGGAAAAGAATCTATAGTTTATGCAAGAACTTTAATTGCAAATGAATCCTATATATTAAAAATATTTGAGGAAGAGATTCAATAACTTCAAAAGTAAAAGCCAATAATTATTCAAGTTATTTTGAATTTTGTGAACCTGAAATTTAAGAGCCCGTTTAATCATCAGTCTAATTTCTTCTGGAAAGACAAGATAAATTACCAAAAAAGAATCTAAATCTTAAACCTGAAATTGCACTTCAATAATTTCCTTAAAAAAATGAAATTATTTATAAGTTTTTCCAAGATTCAGATGGTCTTCTTGGTTTCTTACATCCTTTATGTCATAAATATATCGCTCTTTAATATGGTAATGATCGTCTTCCTCAATAAATTCAATCCATTTTAATACAAAAGGACTAATTTACTTAGAACGATTATACATTAGCAAGATATAAGTATATCTACACATATCTTATTTTAGATTTCTTTCTCATATTCCGTTACATACAGAAATCTATTTTTATGAGATTGATTTAAAGAATATTTTAAATCATGAAACTTTCAAGGATTATTAACGGGAAGTATAAAATAAATGAATATTTAGATTTCAGATTATAGAGAAAGATAAAGAAAGGAAAAACTAAGATAAGAAGAAAAATATAATTAAATTTAAGCATATTAAATTTAAAAATAATATTAATAAGAAAATGGAAATGATTTCTACTATTAAAATTCATTAGTGGATGAATTTTAATTTGATGAATAAGATTTTCCAGAATTGCCAGTAATAAAAAATGTTATTTAATAAGAAAATGATATGGAAGATAAAGGAGAAATAGATTAATAATAATAATAATTATAATAATAATAACAATAATAGTAATAATAATAATAAAAATCTTAAATTAATTAAAATGATGCTATCAATTTAGATTTAGAATCTTAATTTCCAAGTATAAATGAAGAATGTTCTCAAATTAAAGTAAATCCATTTTAAAAGACTTGGGGTTAATAATAATAATAAAAAGTAGAATAAAAGGTTGAAACAGAGTAGTTGATAAAGAAAGAAACGACAAATCAAGAAGTTGTAAAATTAAGTGATTTAGACTTTCCTGTAATTGTTAAATAAAAAAATAAAAAAAAGAAATAAAATCAGAAGGAGTGAATTATATATATATTAATATTAATTAAAAATAATGTAATAAGGGCTTGCTTAAAAGAGACTCTTGATGGATTTTAAGAAAATTTAGTAAGAAAATTAAGAAGACTTTATGGCTTCCCCTTAAGAGAATGATATATTCCATTGGGAAGCTGTGATTTTCGGGTAATAGATTTGTTGAAAATATTTTTAGACCAGAATAAACACCATGGGAAGGAGGATGTTTTGAATTAAAATTAACTTTTACAAATGATTATCCAACAAAGCCACCCGAAGTTCGTTTTGCTCCTCCAATATATCATCCAAATGTTTATCCAGATGGAAGAATTTGTTTAGATATTTTAAAAGAATAATGGACTCCAATATTAGATGTTTGGGCAATTTTAACATCTATCAGATCATTATTGTGTGATCCAAATCCCAATTCACCTGCAAATCCAGAAGCAGCCAAAGTAATTGAGATTCTGTAAAATAGTTATACATGTCTGACAGAGCAGAATATTATAGAAGAGTAAAGGAACAAGTTGAAAAAACACTAAATGGAATTGAAGAAGAAAAATGATTAAAAAATTTATTAACATAATCTATATCAGATGGTAAACCAACCATTTCTTAAAAGTTATCTTAAAGACCAGGCATTCCTTTGAGTAATATCTTGAGTTTCATCATAAGAAGTCTTCCAAGTCCAATAGGTCCAACCTCCCTTTGCAGAGGTAATAGTTTCTCTATACTTATTTCCAAAAGACCTGAAACTCTCCTCACTATAGAAAGGTGCATTATCTGTAGTGGCAATACTCCATTCTCCAATAAATATTGGATTACCCTTCCAGACATCTAATTATTGTTGAACTCCTGGGATTCCAATATTGAGAATCTAATCTTCATTCATATCTTCATAGCCCCAAATCAAATACTTATGCCATTCTTACCAAATATGAGTTTCTTTAAGAGCAAAGTCATTGAAATGATCTGGATCTTATTAATATATTAATGGAGCTACGGTAAGAATACAATCATTTCCAGTTGCTCTGATTTCTGAAATTGCTGTAAGATAATACTGTTTAAGAGTGGCTTCATCTGTTGTTCCAGATGGTTCATTAAGTAATCCCACACCTAAAAAGGCAATCTCATATTTATATCTTTCTGCCAAGAATACTGCTAAATCAACCGTATTTCTGACATTTTCAGGATACAAGGCCCAATATGATTGACCAGGAGCAGGTGGAGCACTATGATCAAAACCATTTTATGATCCCTTGGCAGCATGTATTTGAACAAGGACTGCTACATTATGCTTAACAGCCCAATTTTTGATTAGCATATCTAAATACTTGAGAGCATTAGGTGCAAATACTTTCCAATCAGATCCTCCTGTTTTATCGAATCCTGCTATCCAAAAACCAATAGAGACTCTAACAGTGTTAATTCCATATTATGCCAATTCTGCAATGTCTTATTCTGTAATCCATTCTGATCTATGTTTTTCAAATCTGTCATCTCCAACATTATGACCCAAATAGGACATCAATCCGTACTCACCATATCCATGATAATACTCTGGAACTCCTTCCCAAATCACAGAACTAGATGTCATCCAATGTTCAACTACTAACCACCCACCTAAATTTACTCCTTTGCTTTTCACTTTTCCTGATCTGATATCTGGCTAAACATGAGAAAATACAAATGTTATCGTCAAACATAGTATAAGGAATCTCATAAATTTATAAATATATTTATATTCAAGAATGGCAAAATTGGATGAAAATTATAATCCTTGGGATTTAGAAAGTGACGATTATCGTATGCCAGGTTAGGTTATCAAAAATTACAATTCATTTCACAACCAACTACAACCAGTATCAATTTATATTTATACTATGCTAAAAAACCAGATTGTTCAGTTGAAAATTAAAGTAGATCCTCTGATACTTGCAATTATTTCAGTCATGCTCCACTTGTATAAATAAGCATTTTATTTTTTATTCAGTTCACAGAAAAACCAAAGTGTACGCCTTTGGCTAAAAAAGAAATCATAGAATTAGAAGAAGAAGAGGCTAGAAAAATGGCAAGTCCTTCAAGTCATGAAGCTATATCACTACAAACACCTAAAAGTGTGCATAGTTAATAACCGTAAAGGACTAAGGCATCTGAAAAAATTAGAGCACGTCTATCTAAACCCTAAATACTTAGCAAGAACTAATTTAGACAAAAACAATTGTAACAATTTATTGATGGATGGGGTTTTTCATTATTGATGGCGTTTGTTACTATTTATGCATTATTTGGCGATGATATTAGAATATTAACTGTGAACAAAGATGGAGATGACATTTACTTTATTTTAACAACAGTATGTATAGTCTGTTTTGCAGTAGAAATACTACTTACTTGCATAGCCAATCCTTCTTATCTTTTTAATGTATTTTGCTTTTGATAAATTTAGTTTTACTTTTGGCTTGATTTGATTTCTACTGCTACAATGATTCTAGATATTGGTTGGATTACAGATCATTTGTATGGTGAAGAAGGTGACGTACAAAATGCTGCTACTCTGAAAGCATTAGGTAAAGCATCAAGAACAGCAAGAAAAGCAGCTAGAGTAATACGAGTTTTAAGGTTAGTTAGGTTAATAAAATTATATAAACATGCAAGATTATAACTTGAAAAAGAAAAGCAAAAAAAAATTCTATAAGAATGGATTTTAAAAGAGGATTCAAAACTTAATTCTTCACAATATTAATCACAATAGCTAAATAAATAAAAATAAAATTATTTAATTAGAATCTCAATTTTTACATAAAAAAAACGATAAAAAAAACCAAAATCCGAAGACTTGAATTCATAATTACCATATATTCATAAAATTTAGCATTCCAGATCCCAATCTTAACACGATCAAAATAGTAGTAACAATGAACAACAACAATCTAAATACTCTAATCTTTCATAAAGTGATTAAATTAAAGAATCTCAAGTTGGATCCTAATTGTAAGATCTAGTGATGAGAAGAGTCATTACTATCATTATAGCAATTTTAGTTAGTATACCAATTCTTACTATGGATACTTATTCTGAAATTATTAATAGTTATGACTCTGGAATATTTAGAATTAGTTAATTTAGGAGGAACTTTACAATAACGGATATGCTAACTAAATAATATGTAGAATTTCATAATCATGAAATCTACCCAATCTAATCTGTGCTAGTACTTCAAGATGATTTAAATTAAACATATATTGAATATAATCACACAACAAATCCTGATTGGTTTTAATATACAGATATGCTCAAAAATCAATATCGATTTTCAGATTAATAATACTACGTAACTACAGATGCGAATAATAAATTAATTACATATTCTGTTTCAGACTTGGTTGATTACAATAAAATTAATGCAATATTATCTATCTTTTAAACCGTGTTTGTTTGTATTGTATTGTCTTTGAGTGCCGTATTATTTAATAAAGATGTTACTGAATTAATTATAGAACCTATTGAAACCATGATTCAAAAGATAGAATTGATTGCCAATAATCCTCTTGAAGCTGTCAATATCGAAGAAGGAGAGGATCTTATGACTTAAGAAATAGAAAAAAATAAGGATAAAAAAAAAATTAGATAGAGGCAAATTGAGTAGAGTACAGAAACGTATATATTGTAGAAACTCATTATGAAAATAGGTGCATTGTTAGCTGTTGGATTTGGAGAAGCAGGTTCTGAAATTATTGCAGAAAATATTAAAAAAGGTGGAAGCGTCGACCCAATGGTACCTGGAAAGAAAATACTTGCAATATTTGGTTTTTGTGACATTCGTAATTTTACAGATGCAACTGAAGTATTACAAGAAGATGTCATGGTTTTTGTTAATGAAATAGCAGAAATTGTTCATTTTACAGTTGATAATTTTGGGGGATCAGCTAATAAAAATATTGGGGATGCATTTTTATTAGTTTGGAAGTATCCTGAAATGAAATATCACGTTGACCCTTAAATTAATAAATTAATCTTACATGAAGATCACCATGTTAAACAAATAGGAGATATGGCAGTTTTATCATTTTTGAAAATTATCATTTCTGTATCTCTGTCAAAAAAATTGGAAAAATATAAACAACATGAAGGACTCAATGCCAGGATTAAAGATTATTGTGTCCGTATGGGCTTTGGTTTACATATGGGTTGGGGTATTGAAGGAGCAATAGGATCTTCTTTTAAAATTGATGCTTCGTACTTAAGTTCTAATGTTAATATGGCCTCAAGATTAGAAGCAGCTACTAAATAATTTGGTACAAATATACTAATTAGTGGAATTTTAAAAAGAAATTTAACTTAAACTTGTTAGAGTCATATTAGATTAATTGATGTTGTAACAGTTAAGGGAAGTATTGAGCCTGTTGAATTATATACCATAGATTTGTCGATAAAAAATCTTCTAAATAAAACAAAGGAACTAAATGATATTATTGATATTAGTAAAATGAATCCCAAAGAATAAAAAAAAATTAGAGTTTTAAATAGATATAAAAGAAATCTTCTAATTAAAAATGTGGAAAATGATAAGATTCAAATTGCAAATCTTTTTAAAAAAGATGCAGATCTCATAATAGCAAGGGAACTATATACTTCAGTATCAAAATCATTTTTAATAGGAATTTTATGATACTTGGATTTCAGGATTTAATCATTATATCAGAGGAGAATGGGAAGAAGCTTAAAAGATTTTTATGATAACATTAGTAAAATTAACGAAATAATTAAGACTATGATACCAGATCATAAAGATGGTCCATCTAATACATTATTAGAAGTCATACATACAGCAGGTGGTAGAGCCCCTAACGATTGGAAGGGATTTAGAGAGCTTACAGAAAAATGATTTAATTTATTAATCATTACTAAAATATATTCTAAAAATTCTAAATTTCAAATTAAATTAAAAATTTAAATCAATATCAATGCCTATTGATTTTAATAATTTTTCATAAATTTCCTTTCTAATTTATAAAGTTGATAAAAAGCTAAATATACCATCTTCTCCAACATCTGTTTTATCAAAATTGCCTAATTAAATTTGCTTACTTTATACCTTTAACTGTATTGATGGCTGGATCAGTAAAATAAATTTCAACGCCTTGAATATCATTAACTATATAATTAGATGAGCTATTTTAATAAGTAAAGTATGAGAAAACTTAGGAGATAGAATTTAACTCTGTTTATTTATCACCTATATATCCATCATTATTGTTGTATTTTTCAAAGGTTCCTTTAAAGAATCTTTCTACAATTCAATATTTATCTAAATTTATGATTAATAATACTTTGTGCTTCCTCTAATAATAAAAAATCTGTATATTGAACCTATTTTATATTTGGGTTTTTCTCACTAACTTTTTCCATAAATTCCTACATCAAACTTTTAGCTATTAAATGAGATCGACAATCATTAACTGCACTGCAATACTTTTGTAAATGCCTTTCTCAATTGGAATTTAACAACATAAATTTCTTAATTATTATTTCTCTTTTTCATCAAATAAACTGCCTTCATCATTCCATATGCAAAAGGTTGCTTGGTTCTTATACATTCCCAACTACTTTAAAGTTTTAATTCAAAATCATCGCTTTCAAATTTAATCCATTCAATGTTTTCTAATTTATTTTTAAAAGATTCTTATTTAAGTTCAACTGTGTAAACCTGACAATTTAACTTTTCATATTAGACTCGATCATCGAAATTATAAATTTCCCCCATTTACATAATGCTTGCAAAGCTTCATCAGTGCATTTTTTCGCTCTTTAAACACATTCTTCATATTACCTTCTGTAATTGAATCCTAAACTGAAGTTATTAGAGCATCCCCCTACCTTTATCCTCCTTGACTAGAAATCTCTTATTATGCATCCTTATTATTAACACCCCCTACTTTAAATTTTTTCATATCATTTTAACCTTCTTCAAAATTTTGCTTTCTTATTTCCATTATAACTTGCGATATATCATCATCAGACTTTTTTAATCATAATCACGAGAAAAAAAAAACCCATTATTGATATTTTTTTGTATGATGGAATTTTTTTACCTCTACAAGGAGAATTTGGATTTTTCAGACCAATTCAACTGAAGCATTTACATAAGAGCCGTTTTTAGGTCTTCTTGTTAATCTTTTTCCTCTTTGAATTATTTTATTCCATTTAAAAATCGGATAACGCATCAGCATAAGTACTCTATTCAAATTAAAAGGTTTCTGACTAATATTTAGACTTAGAATAACTGTAACAAACTGCCCCCAAAGTAGAATCTCTGTTTGTTATGTTTTTTATAGAAATGCAACATGATGTTGTGGCTTTTACAGACGGTTACAGGGTATTCAGGGATATTCAAATTAAAAGCAGTGATTTATTTATTGATGACGGCTATCACTGATCTCTATTATGTAAATATTTATTACAAATTAATTATCAGGAGGAGCCTAAATTTTCTTATTTGTTTAAGAAACTAATTCATTTTATTATTCTTATGAATTTTGTCGTTTATTATTTTCTTTTAATCAAAATTTTAGTTACCTTTATAAATTTAGTGTTACCATATTATTGAACATTAAAGGCTGCTCTGAAAGCTAACAACTCTAGTTTAAAATTCTATTAAAAAATAATAAAGTTTATGATTGTATTATAAATTAATATAAATATTTTTCCATTCTTTGTTTGCATTTGCAAGATTTATAATAATAAAAATAATTTATAATCAAGATTATGCTAAAAAACATATTTCCTTAATTAGAATAAATGAAATAAATAGAAATAAATTTTCCATAAAATTAAAAGGATTTATGCTAATTTATAATCGAATGGAACTAGATCAAATATTATCAATTGATTTAAAGATTAAATGTAAGAATAAAATAGCTAGAATAAGTTACAAAAATGGATGTAGAAGGCATCCTAAAAGAAAATGAACAAAATCACTGAAAGCAAGAAATATAACAAGGATAATTAAGAGAAAAATTTAATAAATATTGAAGAATTTAAGATCGAAATTGATTTTCTTGATTAAAAGCAAGGAAAGTTAATAAAACAATAGGAAGATTTGATTAAAAAAGTAGAAAAAAAATTTCAGAATAATGGTCGAGAGAATATCGATAAAAAAATTATACTTAATTTTGATAGAAAGAATGAGAGATTAAAGTTAAATAATCCTCAAAGTACAAATATAGACTAACATAAATAATATGAAGAAGAAATGAGTTAGGAAGAATAAAAATAAGAAAAAGAGAAGAAACTGAAATTTGATTAAATTGAAAAAAGAAGAGAAGATTGCTAAGATTTGACAAATTTTGAAAAAACATCAAAAGTATTGATTGCTTAGGATGATTTACAAGGAGAAAAAAAAATAAATTCAAATTTAGTTATTAAAACTTAAAAAAATGGAGATAGATGTGTCAAATAAATATTAAAACAATAAAAATTAACATAAAATATTAAAACTGAATAGATTAGTGAAGTGAAATAAAGAAATCCTACAGAAGAATAATAAAGTTAAGATTTGGCTTCATAATGTAAATAATATGAGAATTAGTTTAAAAAATTAAAGCAAAAAAAGCATCCAAAAATTATGATTTAATCAAATGGCAAACTCAAAAAGCATAATAAATTGCCAAATATGATAGTAGATGCTTGCATATAGACAGATAATACGAGTGACATTCATGGTCAAGAAATTCTCAATTTAATTATTCTCGAATAAGATATAGTATATTAATTACACTAACTACATGAAAAGATATTAAAGCTATTAAATAATTAGATTTGATTATATTGTACCATTTATTTAATTTTTAATAATATATTTAGAGCTTTTTTTATAAAATTCTTTTCTGAAATTTGATTAACTTGATTTATTTTTATACAGAATGATTATTTCTGTGTATAACAATATGTAAAAGATTAAAAAATTGTTATATTACAACATTTTTTAAAGCTACTTTATAAGCTCGTCTAAAAAAGCCTAGAAGTAATTTAAACTTTAAAATAAAGTTACCATTTTAGTTTTAACTAAGAGATAAAAAGAATAAAATAATATTTGGTTTATTTGATGGATTAGAATCAAATCAAATCTAAAACTCTTAATGAACAATAATTATTTATTAATTGTAGAGACAGAATCGATTCATTAAATTTATTAAATTTTCAAAAAAAGTTATACTCAGATTTTTCTTCACCAAACGATTTAACTTAAATTTAATAAAATAAAAGAGAGAAAATAATTTAAGAATGATGGATCATAAATTATATAGGGAAGAGCAACAAAAAATAATTTTGAAGGAAAATATAAAAAAAAATTAAGTTAAGAGATTAAATGATAAAATTATGACAAATTATTAGATATATCAGAATTAGAGAAAAAGAAGGTATAAGGCATCTAATAAATTAAAGATAATTTTGGCTAAAAAGAGAACTATGTTAGCCCTTAAGATTAGATGCTTTAGCTCAACATTAAAAAAGATATGAAGAAGAGATATTTGTAAAATTGAATTAACGACAGTAATAAAAGCTAGAACAAGAGGAGGAATTCAAAATGAATTTGATTACGTTTCCTAAAAGTTAAACATTAATTCGGTCTGAAGAGGAATAAGCCAAGTTGAAAATTTTCTCAATAGTAAGCAGCAGATCAAAAAAAATTATTGAAATAAAAATAATAGAGATATGGAGAATCCATTAAAGATAGTTTTCTAAAAGATATTCCAAATATTCAATTTCACCAATTAAGCAAAAATAAGAATAATATAACATTTAAAAATCTCAATTAGATTCTGTAAACCAGAAAATTAAGAAATTACAAAGCATTTTGAGTGAAAAAAAATGAATAAAATTTTAAAATTACCTGAGACAAGAAGTGTGAATGATAAAAGATAAAGAGAATTAAATTCTTTGATTTAAATGAAAAAAAGCGATAAAGTATATTGAAAAACTTTTCTGGTCTCAAATCCGCAAACTCTCACCTCTTTTAATGATATCAAACCTATACATTTTGAAGAGAAGTATTAAAATGTTTTGAAATCCATTATGCAATTAGAGTAAAATGTAAGGAGAGAGATAAAAGACTTATACTTATTAAGTCCTAATAAATAGAAGAGGAAGAAAATGAAAAGTATATAGAAGCCTTAAGATAAAAATTAGATCTGATTTGATTAATGAATTACTTCAATTTTTCCCCAATATTCAATTTTATATATATTTTAAAACCAATACAATAAAAGCAAAAGAATTGAGTATATATTGTTGTCGGCCATACTAAGCCTAAAGCACCGGATCCCATTCGAACTCCGAAGTTAAGCGGCTTAAGGCGAGGTTAGTACTAAGGTGGGGGACCGCTTGGGAAGTCCTCGTGTTGACAACCCTTTTTTTATTTTTTATTTTTAATAAAAAATTATGATGTAATTAAATAATTAAGAAATTAAGAATTTTATATATTTTTTAAAAATTTATGATTTCTTAAATCTTAAATTTCTTCTCACCAATCATAAAATGGCGTTTAAATGATAGTATATAATATAAATGTGTTCTGTTCATGTTTTAAACTCGATCCACTATTAAGAAATTATTTTTTGAATGATTTGTAGATGTTTTTAACAAATAATTTAATATATTTATATAAAACTAAGTAATTCATCAATATCCTGCATAATAAATCTACAAGAACGAGATTATTATCAAAATAATCATCGATAAAATTACAATGCCAAAAAAGAGCTTGGATTTATATTTTAAAAAAGTAGCTAATTCTTTGTTTTGCTAATAAAAAATTATTAAATTTAAAGGATAAATTATTCAATTTATTTTTACGTTATATTAAAACTAATAACTTTTATGGCTCGAGGGGAAAATATACATATTGAAGAATAAATCTAGTACAATTAGTTAAGAACATAAAAGAACAAATCATAATAATAGTAAGGGAGAGGGCTCCAAAAAAATTTTAATATGAACATCTTTAAATGATTCTTCTCGATTATATATATTAATAAAAATGATTATATTGTGATAAGTAAATCTTTAATTTTATTCAAAAAGTATTAATTATACGTTAGTCTAATAGAAGTAGCAGTTTTACAATTAAGAGAGCTTTAGATAAAATCATTGTTGCATTCTCAAAATTATGTTCCTTCATCAAAAACTAGTGTTTGACTAAATTAAATTATTTTATTTTTAAAGTTTAAGAATCTGGAAACTTTGGTGACACAAACTTAATTTGATTTTTTGACATACAAAATAAATTTAATTAAAAGGTCGTTTTAATAGAATCCTCATTTTAACTCTAATTTTAAATTAAAACTTATTTATAAATTATAAAATATAGCAAAGCAAGGAATTTGTGCAAAAAATAATGAAATCTCAATTTATATAATAAATCAATTAAATAGAATTAAATTAATTTATTTTGAATTGAAGAAAATTGGAATCCAAATGATAATCATTAAATTAGGAGGATATTAATTGCATCTGTAAGATAATAAATTCTGATGAAAAAAATTTGAAAGCACTCATATTTTTGAATGGATAGCGAAAATTCAAGGAGTCATAATACTTTTAGAATCATAACTTTCACAAAGTAATTGAGAGATTTCAAAAGTTTTTTTAGCTAATAATAGATAAATTCGACTTATTATTATCAATAAAAATATACATTACTTTTTTTACAACCATAAAAATTAATGAGAGCTAATAATCGTCTTGCATCTGTAATTGGAAATTTACGTGAAATAAAGGAAACAAATGTAATAATGAAAATAAAAAAAATAGCTTTTGTTTAAAGTTACAAACACTTTCTAAAAAACAATCAATGAGGACTCTGATATGATTAGATAGAGATGCATGTAGATTTTAACGATAGAACCAGAGAAAAGATCTATCATATAAGCTAAATATGTTCAAAAATATTTTGAGAGAGAGTTTGCATATTTTTCGTAAAATTGTAAATAAGTCTAGTAAAATAAGAGGATAATTGCCAGATGATCTATACATTAGAATTTTTAAAGACTTATAGCTCGAAAGAAGTAATGCAGCTGAGGTTGTATTTAACATTGGAGACATTGGAAGAAAAATGTACTTTATAATTGATGGAGAAGTAGCTATTCTAATTCCTATGTAAGATTAGTAACATCATGATACTCAACATCATCACTAAAGAAGTAAGTGTATATTTAGATTGTAAGAGTCACTGATAGTTAAGAAATTTGATGATATACTGAAACATAAGTATGCACAATATAAATTAATTGCGATAAAAAGTAAAAATGACTATTTTGGAGAGATCGCAATCGAATAGAGGATTCCAAGGACAGCCTCAGTTGTAACTAAATCTGAATGTATTTTTGCCACTTTGTCTTATGATTCATATTAGAGAGTATTAGGGTAATATTAAGAGAAGATCTTGGAAGAAAAATTGTTATTTATCAAGAGTACACCACCATTCAAAAATTGGAGTTAATCAGGCTAACTAATTTTATTACACAGTTGTTAAGAAATAAGTTTTGAGGCAGGATCTTTTGTTTATAAAAGGGGATAAAAGGGGGATACTGTATATTTAATTAAAGAAGGAGAAATACTGATTGAAAAATGGGATAAATAATAATCTGTTACATAAGAAGGAGATATTTATTTGAAAAAGAACATTATTGTTATTGGTTTATATTCAACTGGATAAATTTTTGGAGATTACGAAGTTTATTAAACAAATATGAAATGTAGACATTTGACCAGAGTGACTTAAGCTAAGGCAAGAGTTAAAACTGTTGTTTTAGCTCTATCAATATCATAGTATATTGATAATATGAGGTTGAATGAGAGAGATTGTTGGATTAAAGATTATTTTGAGTAAAAGTTTAACAAAAAATGGTTAAATAAACCAGAAATCTAGACCTCATCTGTTAGCAAGAGTCCAAATCCATCAAACAATAAATAATTTATCAAAAGTAGAGAGGATGGAAGATAAGCTTTGAAAGTCTCTTTATCTAATAATTATTTTGAAGAACTTGATTTAGATAAAAAAGATTCAAAGGATATCTAAATGTTGTCTCCAACATAATTACATTCTTAGAGTAAGAGCAATAAAACTATGAGAAAATTCTTGAGTTTATAAGGAAATTTGTTTAAAACTCAATAAACTTATGAAGCCCCTTCTATGGATATAATTATTAAATAACTTAAAAATAAAGTTATTAAGAGTAGAGATAACTTGACTAACGAATCAAATTTTGATATTTCACAGAGCAAATTTTATTCTGTAAAGAAACCAAGTGCTTCTAAACTTAAAATTGGTTTATCATTTAAATCATTTAGAGAAGGAGAACGTAATAAGTCTAAATTTTTAGACTGATTTATTATTTCACTTTTACTCTGAGCTAGACAATACATCATTTAGTCCTTCTCCAAATCCTAAATCAGAATCATTATCTTCTTAAGATTCTTAGGATTCTTAAGATTCTTAATCTTCATTATATTATTATTATTATTTTTAATTTTATTCTTATTATTCATTTGATAATAAACTTTGTTTTTAATTAATTTTTTCTTCTTTTGATTATATTTTTTTTTTCAAACAAATTAAAGTTATTCCTTCATTCATATTCATATGTGTGTTATAATAATCAACAGCTTCTTAAAATTAATCTAAAGGAAACTAATATTATAATTAGTGGTATTACTTCTTTAGCAATTTTAGTTTTTAAAGAAGACTTAACAAAATTCTTGATTTTTTTTAAGATCATCATTAATTCTATTTTATTTTTTTCTTTTAACCAAACATTCAAAAAGAATCTCAGATATAAAAATAAGAATACCCTTAAATAGATTTTCTATCTCTTAATATATCATTGGCTTGAATGCCTCCTATTTAACAACTATCAAGAGTTCCATACATTATCAAAATTGAGCTTTATGGCATAATATTTAAAACCTATCCACTCTATTATCCTCCAACAGCATCAAAGTAAATAGAAGGCTAAATAACTTAGCACATTATTTTTAACTATTTTAGGAAATCAGAATCATTTTGATTGATACTTAATTCTGTTTCACATTCATATCTTAATTAATTAATTTATTCTTCACTACTAACTATATTAATAACTTTAATATTTTATTCCTAAAAGAGACGGTTCATCATTATTCCTAACTATGAAGCTCCTGAATTGTTAATGACTGCTCTTACATTATTTTTCTTGCAAAGGTCTAACATTCCAATAACAGATAATGGATTAACAAATGAACAAGCAGCGTTATTTGATTAAATATCATCATCTAATTCTATGCACAAATTTCTATCTGCAATACAATATTCTCCATATGTTCCATATTTATTATCTGTGTAGAATGCTACTCTTTTTCCAGACATACCCCAATTAGCCATTCCTCCGCCTGTAAGTACTACTGTGCCAGATCCTTCAAATCCTGGAACACATGGATATTGTTTATTTGATTAAGATTATCCTAGTATAAATTTAATATCTGATGGATTTATAGGTGCATAATCCATTCTTATTAAAAGTTGACCTTCTTCAACTTTTGGTATTGGAATACTAATCATTTATGGTTTAGCATCTTTAGATTCTTTCCAAAGACAATTCATAGTATTGCCAATTTACATTATATTAGAGTTTATAAATTATAATTTGCCATAGAATTTATTTATTTTTGTTATTTATATTCAATTATAAATACCTATAAATAATTCATATTTCCTATAATATTCATCCTTAATTTAATGTTTTATACAATTTTAAAACTTATGTTGAAGAAGAATTCCTTATTGAAATTCTTTCCACTTATTGAGCATTTCATTCATTTAAGAGATTAAAAAATTAGACTATCGCTAAAGGAACTATTTGGAATAATTTAGAAATATCAACATTTAAATATTTTTTTCTCTCCTTTAAGAGTGCCATTAGGTTTTGAAGCCTAAAGAAATTGAATTGTTAGAAATATATGTTTAAATTATCTTGAAAAGTAATTGTATAATATTAATTATTTATATATTTTAAGATATTAAATACTAATTTAAATTTTGATTTTTATCAAAAATCTTTATAATAATTAATTACATGATTTCAATACTTTCGATTGAGTTTTAATTAAGATTTTGTTGTTCTGTGCAGTTTTTTTAAGTCATCTAAATATTTTCTTTATTCATCCAATCTGCCCGTTCTCTAACAAACAGATCTTTCATCAATAAAGGAATTATCATATTTAATCTGCTCAAACTCTGATTTTCTATTATTAATTTCGGATTATCTATTTACATCAGATCCTCTATTAAATTCTGCTTTTTAGAAATTAGATTTCAAACATTATAATTCTAGTTATTTAATGCTGCTATGTTATTTTTTTATTGTTTCAATACTCTAACTTAATTCCTGACTAAGTCCATCTATAAGTTCTTTATTTTCTTCTCTTATTTATGATTCCAGTAACAGAACATTATCTTCGATATATTTAGTCTATTTTTAATAAAAAGACAATAATAAGGAGACTTTTTCAGATAAGGTTTATAATCCTTACTTAGCATTTTTTAATTAAATTTTATATTTTTCTTTTGAATTTATTTCTTAGAGTAATTGATTCTAAAAGTTTAATTCAGTTTATTCAATGTTTTATTGTATAAGATCTAATTTACAAGCTATATCTTGCAATTAATCATCTTTTTATTTAATTTTTGATTCCAAATCTGATTTTTAATTTAAAACCTCTTTTATTTTATTTTCATATTCTTCTTCAAGAACTTTATAGAACTACACATCTTTCTTTAATTTATTAATCTATTATGTAGAGATTTCATTTAATTATTGATATTGCTTTTTTACTTCAATAGTTTCATTTTACAATTCTTATTTAGTTTTTGATAACATTGTATGAAATCCTTTAACTAAATCACTCATTAATTGAGTCTTAAACTATTCTAAAATTTACATTCTTATTTTAAGTTCTGCTTATAATCCTGATAATTCAATTCTAAGTGATCCTACCTATTCATGAAACTAATAAATTTGAGAAGGTGAAATATTTCTATTTTAAGATGTTTCTTTATTTATTACAACTTATTATAATTCTTCTATTTAACTTTTATATTATTAATTTATTTCCTATTCATACTACAATTATTAACTCATTTCCATATTCTCCTCTGAAAGCTCCTTAATGGCTTGCTCAGCCTTTACCAAATTATCAGATAATAATTCAAACTTCTCCATCTTTGATTAAATCTCATTCATTATAAAGTTCTTTTCATCTAATTCATCCTACAATACATCCCTTTAATGTTATAACTCAGCTATTTATTTAACATATCTTGCTTCTGAAGTAGATAAACCATTTATCAATTATTTATCGTTTTCCTTATTATGCAATTTGTAATTCTCTTCTATCAATTACTATAACTATTGTTCTGTTTCCTTTATGTATCCTGTTTCTATTAATGTGTACAGCCGATTTTACAGATCAATACAAGTCTATAATTTAATTTTAATTTACTTCATCTTCATTGTGATTCATCAATTTAAGCGGCAATTCACAATAAAGAAACTAATGAAGGTTATTCAATCTGATTATTCAAATTATGATACCTATCTAAATAATTTTATTTCATCTCTTCCATTCTTTTTGAAATTCAAATTAATTTCAATAACTTAATATTAAATAAAGTTCTTTAGCATTATATTTTAATCTAAATATCATTACTTCTATAAGATCGAAACAAATTCATTACTTTTTACTTATATACTATTAATACATAACAAACTAAAATATAAAATTGAATACTTAATTTTGTATTAATTAATCAATGAGTAGATTCTCTATTTAATCAAATGATATGGATAAAGTGCATTATGAATTTGGAAACAATCTTTGGTTAGGAAATCTGAAAGCAGCAAAGAATTCAAGTCTTTTAAGATAAAATAATATAAAGACTGTGATTACAGTAGCCAATAATATCACTCTTAAATTATAGAATTTCAAACATTATGTAAATAATGATAGTTATGATAGATTTATAGTATTGAGGATACTGCTACTTTTCGTATATTTGATTATTTTTCTTAAATTAATGTAGCAATAGAAGAGGGATTAAAAAATGGTTCAGTTTTGGTACATTGTGTAGCAGGTGTTTCAAGATCTAGTGCATGTGTGATTGCCTACTTAATGTATTCTTAAAAATGGTCTTATGAAAAAACATATTACTATTTGAAAGAAAAACGATTAACAATTAATCCAAATCCAGGATTTAAGAAATAGCTGATCTAATACAATAACCAATTAAATTGGTTTCAAAAAACAAAAAACTCTAATGAAACCATTTAATCAAGCAAAGTACTGCTTTCTCCTAGAAATATGTAAAATATATTCATTTAAATTTTTATTTAGACCGAAGTGTCCACATGATTTTATTCTGTAATTAACTTAAAATAGTATTAAGTCTCCAAGTAGAAAGATTGAATAGTTAGATTAATCATCTACAACAGAAGAGAGAGAAATTTATAGATTTTAATTGGCATAAAAATTATTTGCTAAAAGTCTAAAGAATAACAATAAAACGAGTGTCTCAAAGATTTGTGAGTAAATTAAAACTAATTCACCTTCGATCAAATTAAGTATGTACAATACAATCAATTATTTTGCATAAACTGATAGAGTTTTTTGAATATAACTATTATTATATAACAACTATATAATATAATTAAAATGTAATTATCACATCAATAACTATCTATTTCAGGATGGATGCATGAATATGATCAATAGAATTCTCCTTAAATTCATTAAGTTGTGAATTGTAATATATTTCATTCATAATATTATTATAGAGATAATTAATAGAAAACAATAATCATAAAAAAGAAGTGTAAGTCTTTGCTAAAGAAGATAAGATTAAGAATCAAATAAATCAAGTATTTCAATTTTTTTATAACTGATTTAATTGATTAGAATAGGAACAAAAGCTAAATATTAAGACCTCCAAAAGTTCCAATAAATTAAAACAAAATCTAAGAATTGAAAAAAGTTATGGAATTTTTACAATATAATGAACAACATAAATATGAGACTCATAGAATTTTCAATTTGAATAATCCTAAATTTTAACCTGAAGTTTAGTAAATTATTGAATAGAAGAAAGAATTATTTAAAATTAGATTAATGTATTTATTAATCAAAAGATAGTTAATAATAAAATAAACGAATAATACAACCACTATAAGAAATCAATTCTACTAATCCTTCTACCGAAAGATAACAACAAAGTAAGAAAAATAATCAGTTGAAAAGAACTCGTTTGAAAACTGATTAAAATTTAGAAATTTAAAAGTCTAGTTCTATTAATAGAATTAAGAGCATTAAGGATATTATGCCTAAATTTTAAAAAAATATTGAATCTCCTGGAATACTAAATAAATAAGTAATTTAAAAAGGATTAGAATTTTTATAATTAATGATTGATAGGCATAAGGAAAATGTATAACACAATTTACCAAAAAGATAAAAAAGTTAGAAATGAATAAAACTACTCAATTTTTATTTAATATTGCTCCTAAAATAAGTGCAATTGTTGCTGCAACAAATAATTCCCATAATGGAATTCCTGTTTTATCTCTTAATGCAGAAGCAATAATTTAATCTGGTTAATCTTTTCCTTCTTATTTCTTTTCTAAATCATAAATAAATGCATTTCTATCAATCTCATTTTGAAGTTCATTTATGTCATATTTATATTATTCCTAATATTTTTAATATTTTTAATATTTTTACAATTAATTTAGCTTATTCTTAATATTTCTACTTTAAAGATTTTAGCTTTAAATTTAGATTTGTATATTCATCATTCTAAATTGAATTGTAACTGTTTTGGCTTTAGAATTATTACTAATTATTATGATTATTATTCATATTTGCTAAATTAGATCCTTAAGTCAATCTAGATTATACAAGCTGTGGAGTTTATCCCAATGAATGACTTCTTATATTACTGTTTAATATTTGACTCCTTTGCTATTAATTTGAAAATTAGATATCGTTTCTAATTAAACTAACTTTAAGAATATGTTTTCTTGCAAATTTTTACCATTTGCAATCTTCATTTGTTGCCGAATCATACTTTTATTTTTCAACTATTTCAATCTAAAACTTATCTTTCAATCTATGTTGTAATCTTGATTCATCACACTTCATATATATTAATATTGATTAAGATGATTACGTAGTTATAGGCTTCTCTTTTTCATATGAAATAACATAAAAATTTGGAGATGTAGTTTTCACTCTAAACATTACATCTTACAAAGTTCTATTATAAATATCCACTTTAGCCATGATCTTCTTTTAATTTGATAAAACTCCAAACTTTAGTGTATCATTTGGTTTTATTTCAACAGAACTACATCTATAAAAATATATAATCACTTTAAAATTTCAAAACTAACTTCTGATTTCGTTTTTAATTCCATCATGATATTTTTATCATTCTTAAGTTATGACATAAATTATTTATACTATTTTAATAATTTTATATCAAATATCAAAAGGTTCATCATTGGATTTATAAAGACTAATTTTATGAATATGTAAAATACTCTTGAAATATCCCCCAATGATCCCTTTGGCTATGAAAAATATTTCTTCATAAATTACATAGAAATTCATTAACAAATAAAAGACTCCTAAAATGAAAAATACTGTTCCATATATGTCACCTGCTCTAATCTAATTAATCTATTTAATACACATGATTATGAGCTATTTAATAATAAGCATAACAAACTTAACCAGACAAACTAAAATTAAAATATTATAAAATATTTACAAAATGTAATATAAACCTCTTCCCAAAAATGTTTTCAAGAATCCATATTCACTTAAAATATGCCCACATTTAATTTCATTTGATATCAATAAAAATCCAAAAAATCTAATTATTAGAAATCCATATTTACATAAAAAAAAGTGGATACAAAAATCCAAAAATATTAAAATTGGCATTTTTAAGTTCACTTATGACAATCCAAAAACCTGCAAAAGCTAAAACAATACTTTTTAAGATTTAAAATAATAATTATACGCTGATCCTGCATTTAAGACTTTGATAATTTTCACACCTAATTCGCTCATTTTTATAGAAAATTATATATATAAAATTTTGTAATTAAATTAATCAATTTATAGAAAGCAATTATTTTTTTTATCAAAAGACAATGTTTTTATATAAAATTGTGTAAGCATTTTGATAACGAATAAAATCATGTTAATCTTAAAGTAAAATTGTTGATTTACTAAAATTAATCTATCTAAAATATTGTTTAGTCAAAAAATAACCAAACTCAAAGATTTGATTAAATTTTAACATAAACATATTCCATTATTACTAAAATTAAAAAGTTAATAAAGTGTGGATTTGAATTAATACATACCAAAATATAATAGTTAGCACAAATAATAAATAATGCTAGTAACATTATAACTTTAAAAGAGAAAGATTCCTATTTTGTTTCAAATGCATTCATAGAATAAAAATAAAATTGATTCATAGAAATACTTTTATGTAATTAAAAGTATATTTCTTGTACGTAATATATTTTTTAAATTTGAATTACAAGTTTAAAATGTTAACTTGAAAATGAATATATCTGATAGTCTAAATGAGAATATCTAATTACTTTTCTGAGAAACATAAGAAATATCAATCATGATAAATGTTAATACAAGAGACTTTACTTAAGATTAGATGTTTAATAAAAGAAAGAATAGCATATAATAATTATAATAATCAGCATTTTGTTAAATCAATATAAATTATTTTTTATTTTAAATGAAGAAATATATTTACTATATTAATAAAATTAGTAGAATTTATTTTAATAGATTATTATTACATTTAATAATATATTTATGTATTGAATAATGCATTATAATAAGTATAAACAATATCGTTGATTAATACCTTAAGGATATTTAAAAAATTGAATAAGTAGAATATTTTCATTTATTTTGATGATACAAAACTATTTTGATGTTTATGAACATAAAATAAGAATAAATAAATAATAATTTAAATAAATGTTAATAAAAATGAAATTAATAAGAAGTATCATGAAATCTAAGTTTTTGATAAATGACATTATAGTTATATTAATAAATTCATAATTTTTAAAATGACAATTCGATGGATTGTTCTTCTTCAATAATTTATAATGGAGATTAATATTGTTAATTTAATTTGTTTCTTTGACTCTATTATAATTATTAATCGTCTTATTCATCTGGTAATTTGAGACATAGTAGATCTTCAACTTCTTTAGTTAAGATATCTATAGTCTTTTAATCAACTTGTTCTTCTTATGGTGGAGTATCTTGTATTAAAAGATTGTACAACTTGTCATCAATTTAAACTTTATTTTCATTTTGTTCTAGATCCAACCATTTCTATTCGAATGACTATAAATAAGAATATTATTGGGGAATACCTTTTTTTCTTCTTTCCAATTTCTTTTTTGAAGAAGTTATTATTTATTTATGTTACTATATCTGACATTTTCAATTTTAGAATCAATTTAAGTGATTTCGTTTTCAATAGACAACTTTTCTTATTGCAATTTAAGCATTTGTGGTAAAAGAGAAGTGTCTTAAGTAATAAATTGTTTTTTCTTTTTCTCTTCTTATACTTATATTTATTTTTTCATTTACACTAATTAGTTAATCTAATTCTATAGTTCTTCCTTTTATGATTGCATNCTTTTCTGAGAAACATAAGAAATATCAATCATGATAAATGTTAATACAAGAGACTTTACTTAAGATTAGATGTTTAATAAAAGAAAGAATAGCATATAATAATTATAATAATCAGCATTTTGTTAAATCAATATAAATTATTTTTTATTTTAAATGAAGAAATATATTTACTATATTAATAAAATTAGTAGAATTTATTTTAATAGATTATTATTACATTTAATAATATATTTATGTATTGAATAATGCATTATAATAAGTATAAACAATATCGTTGATTAATACCTTAAGGATATTTAAAAAATTGAATAAGTAGAATATTTTCATTTATTTTGATGATACAAAACTATTTTGATGTTTATGAACATAAAATAAGAATAAATAAATAATAATTTAAATAAATGTTAATAAAAATGAAATTAATAAGAAGTATCATGAAATCTAAGTTTTTGATAAATGACATTATAGTTATATTAATAAATTCATAATTTTTAAAATGACAATTCGATGGATTGTTCTTCTTCAATAATTTATAATGGAGATTAATATTGTTAATTTAATTTGTTTCTTTGACTCTATTATAATTATTAATCGTCTTATTCATCTGGTAATTTGAGACATAGTAGATCTTCAACTTCTTTAGTTAAGATATCTATAGTCTTTTAATCAACTTGTTCTTCTTATGGTGGAGTATCTTGTATTAAAAGATTGTACAACTTGTCATCAATTTAAACTTTATTTTCATTTTGTTCTAGATCCAACCATTTCTATTCGAATGACTATAAATAAGAATATTATTGGGGAATACCTTTTTTTCTTCTTTCCAATTTCTTTTTTGAAGAAGTTATTATTTATTTATGTTACTATATCTGACATTTTCAATTTTAGAATCAATTTAAGTGATTTCGTTTTCAATAGACAACTTTTCTTATTGCAATTTAAGCATTTGTGGTAAAAGAGAAGTGTCTTAAGTAATAAATTGTTTTTTCTTTTTCTCTTCTTATACTTATATTTATTTTTTCATTTACACTAATTAGTTAATCTAATTCTATAGTTCTTCCTTTTATGATTGCATACATTAAATCTAATCTTATTCATGAATCATCTTTAATTATTTCAATGATAATGTTTAACTTCTAACTGTATCACATTATAAAATCTAAATTGATTGCTATTTTTTTAATTATGTTCTACTAATTATGCATCCTGCATTTGAACTAATAATACTTACATTATTAATGTTCTTGTCTTGTTCCTTCATTATACAAGAATTGTTTTTCTTTCTTTTGAAAAGAGTCTTACTTTATTCAGGAATATTAAGCTTCTGACATATCTATTAGTATAGGTATGCATAATACTTTGTCTATTTTTAACATTCTTTCTTTGAGTGTTTTCATTTTTGAATTAATTAACTATAATTATGTTAAAAAATATATTATAGAATGATACAAAATGTCAATTCTATTTTAATAATATATTAAATCAAATCATCTATTTAATAATTATTTAACAATAAAATCCATAGAAGGTCTTTTTGTTTCATCTTTGTTTCTCAACTCATTAACCAATTATATGATATTCTTAGGTACATTTCTTCCAGGTAATTATTCATTTTTCATAGTCTTTTGAATAATCTCTTGCATTTCTAAACAATCCCAAGGTATCTCCCTTGCGAATATTTCCCATAATAAAGTGCCATAAGCAAATAGATCTACCCCTTTGTCATATGCCTTTTAATTCTGAATCATAATTATACTCTTTTAGCAAATAATTCTGGAGCCATGTATGTTGGAGTCCCACTAAATTATTAATATCCTTAATTTAACTCAGACTATATATAATTAAACTTAACTCTTACACATCTCTTTGTTAAACCAAAATCACATAACTTCACTGTTTATCCTTACAATAATATATTGTGAGATTTTATGTCTCTATGTACAACACCAGCTTAATGCATATATTACAAAGTTCTGGCAATTTAGATGGCAATAGAATATTTAAATTATTCTGAGATTTAATGACTAATTGATCATTTTTGCCTTACTTGGTCTTATGCAATAAATGATGCAAACTTCCTCCTGAAATAAATTCAGTTGCAATCACTAAATTAGGTGGTCTTGTACAACAAGCCATTAATAGTACTATATTTGGATGTCTTAATAAAGAAAGCATTTCAATTTCATTATTAATTTCATCTAATAATTATTGAGTAATATTTGGATTAAATATCTTTTTTATTGCAATCTAATTTAGAACTATGTACTTACTTCAGTACCTCTAAAGTATCCACGATGAACTATTGAAAAGCCACCTTAAGAAATTATTTCATGTACTTCAAATTCATTAGAATCTACTTCTAAGACATGATTTGTGTGTTATAATTCTTATATTTATCTCATTGCTCTATTTTATGTTTTTGGTCTTTCCTGAATAATTTACTATTCCTGTCTTGGTTATTAATATGATCCTGGACTAATTTAAAACAACTTTTGTAAAATCTAATTTAATTATGGTTAATGAAAATGTCCATTTAATATTTAAAACTTTGTTATCAAAGGATTATTGCTCAAATTTAAACTTTATAAATTAGACATGTTTAATAATTCTTCAGGTACTTCCTCTATACAATTATTGCTTAAATCTAACTCTTCTAAAGTTGTTAATGAAATTATTCTTGGTTCAATAGATGTTATTTTATTATAACTTAGATCTAAATGAACTAATTTTAATTAGTATATTTCAAGAGGAATACTAATAATTTATTTTCCAGACAAATTCAAACGAGGTTCACCTGATCGTTTAATTCTTCTTATAATCAATTATATATCCTCCATAATTTATATATAATATTAGAAATAATAATATATATTATTTAATTATTTATGTAAACATGCTTCAGTCAATATTTTTCTACTATATTTCTCACCAAAGTCTTAAAGTCACTATTAAAATCAGATATATTTATTATTTTGTCTAACTTATCCCAATAATTTAAGTGTCCTTCAACATCTTTTGATACATCATAATTCTAAATCTTTTTATAACCTAATTTAATAGGATTTAAACCTAAATATTATAAATAAATAATTATACCACAAGGATATTCAAAAAATTTGCTAAATTTGTAACAATATCTAAGAACTTTATCGTTTTCTGAATAAAAATTATTTATTGAACCTGAAATAGAATTCCATCTTCTTTTTTACAACTAATGTATATCAGCAACTCCACCAAATATAATTATATCATTGATTAATTTCTTTTCAGAAAATCTATCTAATTCATGTACACATTCAAGCAAAATTTAACTACCTAAAGAATGACACATTATATTAATTTATCTATCACCAAATAAATATCCTCCATCCAATAAATGAGCTAAGCATTTTCCAACTATCTAGGCTTATTCATATGCTTATTCAAAAGGATTTTCAATTAAACTCTTCTCAAGAATCTAATCTGTTGACAGATTTTGAACTACCCAACTTTTTACCATAGATATAAAATCAAAAAATTTTTTTGTATCCCAATTCAATGCAACTACTGTACCACTAAATTTATTTAATACATGTTTCCATTAATCCAATTTATTTACACCTTAACTACAGAATCCAGAAATAACTAATGTTATTACATTAGAATTAGTCTAATTTTAAGATAGACTCTCAAAAAAAATTTAATCTGGAAATATCAATTCTTAAATAAAATTATACTCTCCTTTTTTTTATTTTTCTTTAATCAGTTCCACTCTCTATTAATATTAATTTTGAATTAATTCTAATTATTTTTTTTGATATTTTTCAAAATTCTTAATTTTTTGATCTAAAATTAATTCAAATAATTAATTTTTTTTATAATATTCTTTACTTATTTTAGAAGGACCTTTTAAAATACTAATAGTTATATCTTGTAAACATACATGACAATTAGAGTCAGATAATTTTATTTGAATTCTAGACTTAAATAATTCTCCTGTTTATTAATTCTATATATCTTCTCTCTAAATCTTCATTTCAATATCTTCAAATATTTATTATTATATTTAGTGAGTTATAATTTCACACAATTGTACCATCTAATGATTAAAATAACCATATCTTAAATCATTTAAATATCTAACAAGATGAAATAATATATTTCTTGCATCAGAATCATAATCTCCAAAAAATATTTTACTTTACTTAAATTAAAAATTTGCTAAGATCATATAAATCTAACAAATAACTAGAAGATTTGTTGATTCATCAACATTTCTTTAATACCATTCTAATGCATTCTTAATTTCAATTGTATAGTATTTTTAAAAATTTACTAATTTATGATCAAAACTACTTTGATTTAATCCTAAAAATTAATTGTCATCTACAAATGAACAATAATCTTATAATTTATAAATTAAAAGCTGTATTTTATTTCTATCTATTCCTAAATTAATCCAATCAATTGAATATATTATCAATTATAGATTCTGATTTATTTCCTTTTTTTTTATTCCATCAATAAAATCCTCCTACTCAATTTATTTTAATATTATTTTTTCAATCTATTATTTTTCCTTTTTATAATCTTCTTATCTATAAATTTTAAGACTATTTAGTATTTTCTCTTTCATTCCATTTATGATCATTTTGTGATATTTTTTTGATAAAACATCAGAAATACGAAACTTTTCTTTTTTTTTTTAATCTAAATTTGATAAAAATTTAATTTAAATTTCTATTAGAACTTATTCATCAAAATTTTAAATTAATACATTGAATAATTCAGTTAAATTCTCTTAGAATTCTTTCAAACTAATTTTTTAACTATTGAGTTATTAAATTAAATCCTCTAATTTTTAATTATATTCCATAGTTTCTTAATATTATTTCAAAAAAATATTTTAAACCTAATTATAATGTTCTTTAAGACATATTGCTACTTTATTTAAGATTTCTTATTAGATAAATTCAAAAATATCTGGAAAAGTAGTTAAAAATTCATCTTCTAATTAATTTTTTTAGAATTCTCCTTAAAAGTATATTACCAAAATGGTTTGAATTTTTTAGAGGGCTTTATTTAACCAAAGTACAGGATTTGTAATTCCACATTCTTTTGTAAAGATAAAGAATTCATCTTTTGCAATTTCTTTAAGATCAATTATACAATAACCTTTCTCTTTTATAAAATAATTATCTTAAATCACTTTAGTGTTGTATAATTTTTAAAATTTGTACTTTTAAAAAAATTCTATTACTTCTTTTTATGCCTCTTCCCTAAAAATTAAATATTAAGAAATTTGTATACCTTATTTTAAAAAATTTTTATTTTCTGTTTTCAAGATCCATATTTCCTTAAAATATTGTTGATAGCTCAGTTGGATCATCAACATATAATTATTTTGCCTTTTATGCTTGTTAGTATTCATTGGAAAACTTATTTTAGGCTAATTTAACAATAGCAGGAACGTATTTTGCAACAAAGAAAAGAGCGTTAATGGTCTTTAACATTGAAATATTCAATTAATTAATATTAATATTGAAAAAAAAAATTTATTAGAACAGGAAAAAGTGTTAAGAAAAATAATTAAATTTACTAATGAATTACAATGATCCATAATTTACATTATTGAATATTGATGATGATTATGAAGTTAAGAATAAATAATAGAGCAATGATGTGAATCTTGAACCTTGGAATGGGAATTCTGACAAAATATTTATAGCAAAGAAGTAATTACAATTACCAAAAAATATTAACTATAAAATAAAGACTCCATCAAGAACAACAACTTAATAACGTAGACGTTCAATAGAAACATTTTATCCATCTAATTAGGAAAGTTGTCCAAAAATAGATACAAAGACTCCTACTCAATCATTTTAGATGACTAGTTTATCACCTAGAAAAAATTCAACTCATTAATATAAACAAAGTTGTTTGAAAATGATGTTCAAGAGATAAATTTAATCAAATTCATTAAATTGGGCTGACTATTATAGGCTTGTTTAAAGAAACCATAATCAATAAGTTGCAAATTATAACCTTGTAGGTTATAATATATAACCATTAAGATTAGAGGATAGATAAAATTTATTCAATAAATTTAGAATAAAAATAAAATAAAATTCTAAAAGTAAAACTGATTGTTGAATTAATTTCTATCATTCTTCTAAATGTGTTTGAATTTATTGGACAACATTTTGTATTGAATTCCATTCATGAAATGCCCAATAATCCTTAATTTTAATTTTAAATTCTGAAGAATTCATTTTCTATTTGATATATTCATACAATAGTTCTCTTTCATATTGGGAATACTCTAGTATTAAATGAATTAAATGTAATTAATAACGAAAGAGTTTTCTACTATTCTCTTCAGATTCTTAAACTAATTCAATTAAAATATCAAAGAAAGTTGATTTATTATCTTCATTAATATAATTTAGATATTGATTCATTCCATTTCTATTTTACATTAAGAAAGTTTAAAGAATAATTTTCCAAAGAGTTGTTTAGATGTCAAAATTGAGATGATTTTAAATTAAAATACAAATGGGTTTAACTAAACTTTGACCACAAATAAGGAGTTCATGAAGTTTATATAAAAGTCTTCCATCATCACATTCAAATAGATTAAGCATAATTTCAACTCCTCTTTTAATAAAAATGACTTCTTATTTATTAATTAGAAAATAAACTGTTTCTGCCACTTCACCATAGTAATTATAAATCAATTTATCATCCATTAATGTCCAATATTTAAGAAACTACTTAATATAAATATATTACTTTAGCAGCATATATGATTATTTATTAGTTCATATGTTCATTATGGATGGAATATCCTTAAGAAAGTTGTATCATTTTATCTATTATTCTTTGCATTATACAATTATCACTCAGTTCATCTTCATATGTTTAGATATCTACTGATTTTATCATCCATATAGCAGCATCAATAGTCTATATAATCATATTAAACTACATCTAATAATTTAAGATTATTTTCTCTCTCTAAAACTTCTTCAATCCTTTCAAGTATCATTATTAATAGGTTTCCACTTAATTCTTCACCTTTCTCCATTTTCTCTCTTATTTTTGCACTTATTTCTTGCATCTATGTTTACTAACAAAAAAGTGATGAGATGTAATGTTTTCTTGATTCTTTAAATTGCTTCTCATTTCTTTACTTTCTAATATGTATATGAAACTGTTCTCTTTTAAAATTAAGGAGACATGTCAAATCATTCATCTCTATTTTTGTAAATTTAAATTTAAATAAAATTTCTAGCACAATTTTTTTCTTTATTTTTATATATTTATAACAAACTAAGTATTTTATAAATTATATGTTAGATAACATTGTAAAAATTGTATTTATATCACAAACTATTAAACTATTATAAAATATAAGAACAGAAAATTTATTTAAAAAAATATAAATTTTTCTAATTTATATCAAAATAATTTAAAATAATACTTGTATTATAAATTGAAATATTTTTTGATATAAATTAAAAGATTATACTCATTGTCTAAATATTTTTTCAAATTAAGAAAGATCTATTTTATTTTTGTGATCTTGATCTAAATAAGAAAACAATGCTATAATCTCTTTTTTAATAAGACGAGGATCGAATTACATAATAAATCGTTCAAATTGTTTAAAATCTAGTAGTCCTTTGTTTTCTAAATCATAAATCTAAAACATTTCTTTAGGATGGAAATGCTATTATGCAGCAATCTGATTAAGATGATCTAATAATTGATGTTCAATTTATTCATAATTTAATGAATTAGTCTATATATAATAATAAAATTTTGATTACAAATTTTCTTTCATTTTCTTAAATGTTTAACCATCTATGTTCAAATAATTCATCCCAATCCATTCTATTCTTTTCTTAAATAGCTAAACATCTTAAAATAAAATCTTAGCATTCATTTGAAATTCTTTTACCAATTGGAAATCTAACACCCCAAGTTTTCATAGCTCTTAAATATTATCCCTCTGTTTAACATTACCAAGGATATTAACCAAATAGACTTTCATAAATCAATATTCCAAGTGACCAAATATCACATTTTACACTATACTTTTCTTTCATCAACATTTGAGGTGCTTCATAAGCTAAAGTACCAAACTGTTGTTTCATTAACTTTTTTCCACTATAATCTGCTTCAATTACAGATCCAAAATCACCAAGTTTAAAGATACCTCCACATTCAAAACAATTTGCAGGTTTTAAATCTCTATGAAGTAACCCTAATCTGGCCAATTCTTTTAAACCATTTAAGAGTTGAAGTACTATATTTAATATTTCATTCTCTTAAACATTCTTCTTTGTTATCAAGTCTTTTAAATCTCTTTTACATAACTCCATTACAACTATCTTTTCATCATTTTATTCAAAAACATCATACAATTAGATCAAATTTGGATGCTCTAATCTTTTCATCATTTAAATCTCATTTTCTAATATAGCTAGAACCTCCTTTCTTACATTTTTTGTTGATGAAACTAAAAATCGTTTTATTATATTTCAATACCTTTTATTGCTACTTCAATCTTGTTCTCAGTATCAAAACCACGATAAACCTTTCCAAAAGCGCCAGAACCTAACAGATTTTTCTCCTCATAGAAATATTTACCAAAAGATTTTGACATTATTTTATTTTAACATATCGTTATAACTAATTCAAGGTATATATACAATAAAATGATATATTTTAATTAATATCTTAAATAATTATTAAAAACTCTAACGATAATCGATTTAATTGCAATTTATTCATTTTATTTAATAATAAAAAAAGTTCTCTTTCTTAAATATGAATAAAATTGAAGTGATCAAACAAGGTAATCAAGTCACCAATCAACTAAGAGATGAGCTAGTTCATTTATTTTCTATCACAGATATTTAGGATAATTATTTATTAGCAAAAAGAGCAGAAACAATAAAATCTGAGATTGAATAGAGATTCAGTAAATGTTTCATCTCATTTTAGAATATCGTTGGAGTATAGTCTTATTTTCTAACGATGCCTAAATGGAGTTTTCTTTTGTTTATGGTGATGAATTCACTCTAGAATTGAGATCTGAATCTTATGGTTTGCTTGCATATATAATTCCTGATCAACCTTAAACTCAATATGAACCAAGAAGAGATTTTGGAGTTACAAAACCATAATTCGATAAAAAAGGAATGTATTCAGAAGTAATTCCACTAGAAAAGAATAATGTTGTTTAGAGGTATTTTTTTATAAATGAGATAATAAAGTTCAATAATATCAAATCCTCCAATTAGATATTATCCAACATTTTATCCTTGATTATATGTTAAGAATATTATCAATAACAATAATTTTCTCTTAAACGATTCCTTTAGTTTTTAATTAAATTATGTATTTTCATTAATTATTATAATATAAAAAATAGAAATAAACCTAGATTATATATATTTCACGATCTTCAATAAAATCTTTAAAAGTTTAGAATGGTTGAACATAAATCAGAAGATTTTAAAATTGCAAAGTTTAAATGCTTCAATGCCATATAAAAAAGCAAAATTTTCAAAATTCATGAAATAATAAACCAAAATAAATAAATCTTCTTATAATTATCCTTCTATTCATCAAATTTTATAAGTCTTAGAAGTCAAAATCAAAATAAAATCAAATCAAAATAATAAATGAGAAAGTTTTTCATCTTTTAGCTAACTTTTTATATTATTATTTGTTTTAATAAACTAGAGTTCACAGTAGGAACATTGTAATTTCTAAGCAAAAACAATCTACTTAAATAATATTTGATAATGTAATAAATTTCGATAATTAAAATCTACTAAACTTATTACATTATCGAAGTGTCATAAAATTAGGATCTGGAACCGAATCATAAATTTTAAAAACCCATAATTACCAAGAACAAGAGGTTGTGTAAATTTCTTTAAATGCATAAGAAAATATACATTCAGCATTTTTACAAATAAATTTTTTCCTATTTTTAATTAAAAATTGAAAAAGCTTAAACTATATGACAATTACTGCTAGAAGATATGTTAATTTTAACTATTCGAATCAACAACAATTTTTAATTCATAAATCTGTGTTTCTATTTAAAATCTTTTTCCTTTTAAACTAGAAAACAGAATAGAGCGAATCACTTTTATGATAACTTCAGTTTAAATTCCAGATTAATTAAGTATTATATCGCATATTAAGTAGATTTTTTAGATTAAGAAAAATTGATACTAGATTTAACCTATTTAAAGAAGATATCAATTCTTTATAATGAGAATTGTGATAAAAATTTGAATCTAAATTCTATAAGTATGATTGTATTACTTAATTTAAGTTCATCCTTATTATTTGAAGTATTAAAAGGTAGGTATAGAATTATAAATTTATTTAAATTATTTAATGATAGTTATTTTAATTATTTAATGAAAGAACGTTTTAAAAAGAAAGACAATTTCAATAGTAAAATGATTCTTACTCAGTTATTTTCTTTATTATGCACTTATTATAGTGGAATGATAATAGTATGTCAATTTTTGGATTTTGCAGTGGGATTATAAGTAAAGTATTAAATGAATCATTAATAATTAGTTTCATTTAGGATAAATTTGGGACTTTGGAATTTATAGCTATGACACTTACTTTAGTGTAAATGTATTGAGTAATGTTTTCAATATTTTAGTGGTTGTAAGTGGATTGGTAAATTTATGTTTTTTTAAAATTGTAGATATTTATAGTTGTAAAAGGAAGCAAGGTATTAGATTTTGTATTTTCTTTGTATTTATGGCATTTCATTATATGTTGTATTTTAAGTTCTTCTGAATTTAATAAATTGTGGCTAATAATAAATACAATAATAAGTATTTTGACAATATTTTTGGGAGAATATCTTTGTGTTAGATTTGATTAATAAGATATGCTGATAATTGATAGATTATTTAAGAATAAGAAAAAGCTAATAGCAGAACATAAGAGAAATGATGATATTATAAAAATCAATATTAAATGAAAAAATTATGGTTAAAAGTATTGATAGGGACTTCAATTCTATCAGTAGCAATTTCATATTCTTTTCTAAAGAGAAAGTAGATACCAAAGAAAAGATTAATAGATATTATAGGAAATACACCTTTAATATATTTAAAGAGTCTTTCTGAATAAACAGGGAAAGAGATTTATGTTAAATTTGTTTTAATAATTTTAGGCCAAATGTGAATTTATGAATCCTGGAAGTAGTATGAAAGATAGAACAGCTTTGGCATTGATAAAATCAGGTTTTTAATAAGGACTTTTAGGAGTGAAAAACAATACAATATATGAAGGTACATCAGGAAGCACAGGAGTGAGTTTAACTTTAATTGGTAATAGTTTAGGATGTAAATGCAAGTTATATTTACAAAATGATTTGGCATAAGAAAAATATAACATTTTATAAACTTGTGGTGCATTTATTGAAAAAGTACCACCAGTTTCAATTGTTGATTCAGAGCATTTCTGTAAAAAGGCTGAAAAATAAGCATTAAAAGAAGGTGGATATTATGCTGATCAATTTCATAATTTGGCAAATCAAGAAGCTCATTTTTAAACTGGGAAAGAGATATATGAATAAACATTAGGTTAAATAGATTGTTTTATTATGTCATCTGGAACAGGAGGATCAATAGCTGGTATATCTTAATATTTGAAAAGCAAAAATAAAAATATTAAAATTGTTTTAGCTGATCCTCCTGGATCCTCTTTAAAAAATCATGTTAATACTGGAGTTTGTTATACATATTAAGAAGCTGAAGGTCATAGACTTAAAAATCCTTTTGATACTGTTATTGAAGGATGTGGTTTAAATCGACTTACAAGTAATTATAATCAAGCTAAGATTGATTATGGATTTACTATTGAAGATTAAGGTTAATTTTCTTATTTAATTTAGAATCAATATAAATGGCTTAATAATTAATTGAAAAAGAAGGACTTTTTGTTGGAGCATCTAGTGCTATGAATTGTGTTGCTGTTTTAAAAGCTGCTAAAAAGTTTCCAGAATGCAAAGTTTTCGTTACTATTTTATGTGATTCTGGATAAAGATATTTGAGTAAATTTTATAATAAAGAATATTTATAATAGCATTAAATTTAATATTGATATTTATTATATAACAAATGGGTAATTGCTGTGATGTTAAACAGAAAAAAAATTCTCCTAAAATTAATAGTGTGCCCTAAGTGGCTGAAATTCTCTCAGAATCAGAAATTAAAGAATAATCATTAAAATTCAAGGAAATGGGAAATCATTATATGCAGTAAAAATTATTTAAGGAAGCTATCATTGCATATACATAGGCAATAGTACTATATTTGATAAAATGATAGAATTTATATAATAAAGAATCTATATATTATTCAAATCGTGCTGTTGCCTATCGAACTGTCTAAGATTATGATAATGTCAAAAAAGATGCTATTCAAGCTTTATAATTAGATAATAAAAATGTTCGTGCTTATTTTGTTTTGGGAACAGTCCATTTAATTTTGGGATAATAAGATAAATGCTTAGATTAGGCCAATGAGGGTGTTAATTTTTTATTTTAAGGTACTTAGTAATTTAATAATGAAGCTTAAAAGCATATTGATTTAAAACCATAATTGAAAGAAAGTGTGGATTATAATCATTCGCAAGGACTAATTTTAAAAGCTAAGCTGGAAAAGTCCGAAAATTATAAGGGTAATTAATTGTAATATATTTAGAATTCTTAAAATTAAAAGATAGTTTAAATTCGTATTATGGCAAAACAATAAATTTAAATAAATTATAATATTTAGGAACAAAAGAATAATATATACCTACATCTATAGAATGTTATACATGTATAATAACTCAAGATTTAATGTTGGAACCTATCTTATTGAGTAGTGGACACACTTATGAAAAATGTTCTATAAGTGAATGTGTAAGAGTTAATGGACCATTCGATCCATCAACAAGATAAATAATTCAGAGTAATTTCATTCCAAATATTTAATTAAAAAATGCAATAGTTGATTATTAAAATAATACTCTTGAATTCTAATGAAGAAAATTAATCTATTCATTTAATTATCTTTATTTTTTGTTATATTTCTTTAGGTATATCCTATTATACATTGATTTGATCTTCTTCACCATTGTATTTATGATAACTTCCCCATATCAATATTCCATTCTCCCAATATCCTCCAGCTATCAAAATCTAATCACAATAGAATCCTATACTATTCGGATTCCCTTCAGCATTTTAAAAACCTATATATAATTAATGATTATTTCTTATTATATCTGGTTCATTCTCAAATTATAAATATTTCTCATGAACATCCATTTCTTTATCTAACTTATTTTTATGATACACTTCCTTTAATTTTGTATTATGAACATAACCTAAATTAGACTGAAGTTTCTACCTGAAATAAGAGTATCCATAAATTAATAGATTCTCCTAAAAAATTTTAACTTCTTTTAATGATTTAATTTTTACCTACATAAATAATTTGTTTACATTTCAATTTGTTGTTGCTTTTCTTATTCTTATTATTTAAGTCTAAATTCTTCATATTATTTTTATTGTTCCTCACTTATAATACCATAATATTAAAATAATTGATTATTTAACATAGAAACCCAAATTCCCCAAATGAATTAACCTTCTTCCCAAATTCCATCTTAAATAGAATGATTTCCTTCAAATAATATTCCTATTATTAATTTATCAATTATACCTCTTCCATGCAGAGTTTAGTTATCTTCCATAAAACTTCCCAAATATAATTAATCCTCTTTAATTTTTTTAGTATCTTCATTTTTAATGAATTATAGATAATGATATTCTTCTGGAATTTCAAAATAAAGTAATAATTAACGATGTTAATTTACAATTTTAGGGTTCATAACATTTTATAATATTTAAGTAATCTTTTCTTGTTCTTACTCATCCCATTAAAATCTTTTAATATTTGATGTTTTTAACTCATCATAATCCTTAATAGTTTTTAAGTAATTAGTTTGTACTATGATTGATTTCATTTATCTTTAAATCTATTCATCAACAACTCCTTCTTTTGAAATTATTTCTTTTGCTTAATTTTCTACCAACCATAATCCATAAAGAAATTATCCATTTTTAAATAGACCATCCTAAATAAATGTTTAACCTATTATAATCCCTCTTCCATGTAGAATCCCATTTAAATTCTAACCATAATAAATTGATTAATCTTATTATTCAAGTGCTCCTATTTCACATTATTCTGTTTCAATATCAATTTATATATTACTAAGTATAGAATTGTGTTCTTCTCTTAATTTTTCTTACCAAACTGCTAATTTTTGAATGAAATCCTTATTTTCAAAATCTAACAATTCATAATAATACCATAATACCTTATAAGTATTATGAAATTTCTTAAATTTCCTCTTCAGTCCATAATAGTTTGATTTGAACTTCATTAAGTACTTTTTTTAATATAAGATGTCTAAGCTTTAAAAGTCTTTAACTAATAGATTATTAGATAATAGTGAATTCTTTTTTATTAATTTAATTTTGCTTAGATATATAATTATCGATTAAGGTTCTATAGGAATTAAATTACTCTAAAACAATTTATTAAGTGAATTCAATATCTTATAAAAGTTATTAGGATGAATCTTTAATTGATTTTTCAAGATCTTAAAAATCGTTAGCATTCATGAGTGAATGATTTTAATGAGTTTCTAAGAGACATTCACAACAACAATAATATTATTTATAACATTCTCTTTCAAGACAAACAGATTAGATAATTTGCATATGTTAGAGACATAATTATTTTTCCATTAAATTCTTTCAAATATATATTATAATGATTAATTTGTTAAAGAAATACAAAATAGTTTGTAAACAAAAATCTTAATTAAATTTTTTTTTTAAATTAAAAACAAAATCATGAGCAAAGTCAGATAAATGAATAAAAAGAAGAAGTTTGTAGCAGATGGTGTATTCTAAGCTGAATTACACTCCTTTTTAAGTAGAGCATTGACAGATGCTGGTTATGCTGGATTTGTTGTAAGAACAACCCCAGTTTAAACTGATATTGAAATTAAGGCTGCTAATACAGCAGGAGTTACAGGTCCAGAAGGAAGAAAATTAAGAGAACTTACAAGTTTAATATAAAAGAGATTTGGATATGCCAAAGGTATTATAATTAATTTATATTTTTAATTTAGAGGCTCTCTAATTGATTGTTGCTAGAGTTTAATCAAAAGGATTATGTGCACCAGCTTAAGCTGAATCACTCAAAACAAAATTACTTGCTTAAGTACCAGTAAGAACAGCTGCTAATGCAGTTTTAAAATAAATTATGGCTGATGGTGCTATTGGTGCTGAATGTATTATCTCTGGTAAATTGGGATAATAAAGAGCCAAATCTATGAAATATAGAGCAGGTTATATTATATCTACAGGTCAACCAAAGAAAGATTTGATTGATGTTGCTGTCAGACATTGTTTCTTCAAATAAGGTATTATTGGAGTCAAAGTAAAGATCTACAGACCATATGACCCATCTGGTAATTTTATTTAAATATATTTTTTTAGGTAAGAAAGGTATTCCCATCGAAGTTCCAGATAAAGTTAGATTCCCAGAATAAAAAGTTGATTAAGAGGAAGAAGAAATAAGAGAACTCATTAATCAATGATATATCAATGTATTCTAATATATAAAAATAATTAATCATGTCTTAAGATTATGTATTCAATCTATTCTTAATATTTAGTTAACTGTCAAGGAAATTATCATTTAAATGTTAGCTAGTCCTACATGGTAAAATCAATACAATTCTTTTGTTGATGAATATTGCATTTTTTTTGATGATGATGAAGAAAACTCTATTCAACAAAATAACCTATTTAAATAATTTCAAACTGAAATGGCAGCAATCTATGACTCTTTTTTCAATTCTTTAGGATTGGATAATACTGAAGAATTACAAGTCTAAGTAAAATTATCTCTATATTCTTTATTCAGGTAATCAAAGAAATCCTTAACAGTGATGGAGATGACGAAATTGATATCCAACAATTACTAGCTTTAGGTGATTTTCAAGTTTTCAAAGCAGAAATGTCCTATTAAAATAAACGCAGAGAAATAGCTGCTTATGAATAATTAGTTGATGATGATGATGATAATGATAATGAAGAAGAATAGTAAGAAGATGAAGACCCTGAAGATGAATAAGCATAAAAAATGCATATATTGAAAATCAAATTGGAGTATGAATAACTTTAAGAAGAACTTGAATTATAGTAGGCTATGTAAATCTCTTTAGACACACCAAGTATATCTAAATATAATTACTATTAGATCAAAAGAAATTAGAAAAGATTTAAGAATTACTTGAAGTAGTAGTAGCAAGATTAGATACTTTATAGAAAGAAGAAGAAGGAATGCAATAAAATTAATAAATGGGTTAAAAAATTGATAGAAAAACTAAATTAATTGATCAACTCTAAAAGCTTCCTCCGATTGATTTATCATAAGAGTAAGATATTTTTAAGAAGATATAATAAGAAGTGAAGAAAATATGAAAAATCAACTACATATTTATGATTTAATAAAATATGGAATAAATTTATTTTATATAATTATAAAACTATGATGGCAGAATTGTAAGCAAGATAGGCTAAGTTAGCCTTGTAAAGAATGACACCAGAAGAGAGAGCAGCATATGAAGCTAAAAATAAACCACCTCCACCTACTAATACTGGAGATGTTTAAGCTAAACTTGCTATGTTGAATTAATAAGAATCAGGACCTGTTCAATAATAATAATAAACTGGACCTCCAAATACTAAAGTTATAGTAAATAAAGCAGCTCCTCCTCCTCCACCTCCACCACCACCTCCTCCTCCTCCAAAAGGAGCAGTATTTGAAATCTTATATAATATTTATAGCCCCCTCCTCCACCACCTAGACCACCTGGCCCACCTCCTCCTAAACCAACTACCAATCCACCTAATCCACCTTCAGTTAAACCTCTTTTATAATCTCCTCCTCCTGTTTTAAATAATCCACCTCCACCTATACAGAATCTTCCACCTCCACCTTAATAAAATGTTATGCCACCACCATCTATATAATAATATAATTAACCTCCTCAACATCCTACTTAACCAATTTAATAATCAACTGACGTCACTTATTTCCCAGTACCTGGTTAACAAAAATAATAATCATAAGAAGCATCTTTCCCTATTCCTAAAAACTAATAAAGTATATTTATTTTATATTATCTTAGAATAAATTCCAGGAGATAATAAAAATGTAGAATTTCCACAACTTAAACAAGATAAAAAATAAAAAATTGAAGTTAATTGGTTTTTAGCTATTGCTGGTGTTAATCTATAATAATAGTTATAAGCTACTACTTTTGATAACATTTAAAAAATTACATAATTATAAGCTCCATCATAAAATGATAACTCAAATCCAGAATTCTAATCTATCAAAAAAGGATTTAGAAAATTAGATTAGGATCCTTATTTAGCTGTCATTTATTTCTAAAAATCTGATACATCTGTTGTAAAAGTCACTAAAAATTTTGAAAGATATCTTAGAAATGATAATAATACTTGGACTTTTAATTAAAATAAATAACATTTATAATTATTAAAAGAAAAATATAGCGAGGAAATCAATAAATATAAAACTGATTATGCACACAATATTTAATAAAATGTTTTGAAATAAATTGATGAAAATAGATTTTTAGCTGCAATCAAAAAGTTAGATTAAATCATTTAAACTAAATTATAAATTCAGGATTATTAAACAGTATAAGTTCTGACTCCAAAAATTTAAGTAATATTTAAACATATAAATTAGAGCTTAAAAGATACAAAAAATAAATATGACTAGTTGAATCCTGCTGCAAGATAAGATATTGTAAGTTCTTTAGAATCCATGATGATGGCAATAGAAGCTATGGCTTTTTGATTTAAAAAAAAATATTATCATCAAGTAATATTTTATATGTATTATCTTAATTTAAAGATTTAAGTATGTATAATAAAGTTCATTTATTTTGGTTATTTATTTATCTTTTGTTATATTTTATGAGCTTCTAAGTATATTATTTTAATTTTTATTTTAAATATATTATTTCCTAACTTTATATTCCCAATTTCTCTTCTTAAGTCTTTATTTATTCCTAAAATAATTTCAACGAATTTTAGTAGTTTTATTCCATTATCTACAAATATTCTTTTGCATTTTTTTAATTCATGTGTTATCTTTTTATCACTTTTAATTACTAATTAAGTAATTGTACTTATGCATTTAATTACTTTATTGTTTTTATAGAATTTTTTAGATGATTTTCTAAATCAACATGATCTTTTTTTTTTTCTGAATGAAAAGAATAATTTGAATAACTTTTTTTTAAATGATTAAAATTAACATTACTCTCATCAAATTAAAAAGATGCCAATTCTTATTTTATATCTATAGTTTCTTCATTAATATCAAATGCAGTTGTGTTAATATCTTCACGTATATGATAAATATCTCCTTATTAATCAATAGAAGAAAATGCTCCTGTTTTACCATTTCCTATAGATTCTTATTTTTCATGTTTCTATGTTTAGATTAACAATTCTAATTCTGCTTTTTTTATCATCAACTCACTTATAGTATTAGAAAATATTTTATTTTGATTATTTAATTGTTAATTTTACATTATAAATACTGAGCTCTTCTAATGCAACTCTTATAACTCTTAATTCGTTGACTATAATATTATTATTTCATAAATTACATTAATTTACTCTAAAAATTGATTTTTTTCTTTATTGCTATTCTATTATAATTATTCTATTTCTATTTACAATTTAAGTAACTATCTATTTGAAGTAATTTAAATCTCTTCTAATTTTGAATTGCTTTCTTTTAAATGCTTATTTTAGTTAATTAAAGAAATTTACATATTTTCCTTAATTTCTATCTACTTTAAATTATAAGTTTTACTTCATTCTCTAACTTATTTATTTTATCTTCTAAAATAAAAATTTATTCTAAATGACTCTTTAATTTCTAATCAACTGTCTGTTCATTTTACGCAATTTAATCTAGTAAATATTAGTTCCACACTTTCTCTTATTCTTACAACTGTTCATAATGTTTGTTTTACAAATGCTCCAATCTTGTTTACAATTCTTGTATATGCCTAAAATTCAACTACAAAAATTTACATTTTATATTAAGCAATTTCTTCTTAATTATTTAAGCTTGGTCTTCTAGAAGAATGTTTTATTTATAATTCTAAATGCTCAATAATTTAATCTTTTTCCACAATTATGTCTATTGCACTTTTCTCCAATTACTCAATTTGTATTTGTAATTCATTAATATTTTACAATGCATAATCATATGATTAGATCATGCTATTTAAATCTAAGTTTTTAAAAACTTATAAAGAATAAATTTTGTTAGACATGAATAAAATTCTAAATTTAATAAATATTATTTTCAGAAATGTTAAGATCATAATAATATAATAATAGAGTATTATTATTCTATCATTTAAACAAATCTTATTATTATTTCAAATTAAATTCCTATACATTAACAACTATTTGTAGGGAGAATATAACCAATTAAAACATAAGAAAAAAAACTAATTCTTACTAGATTGTTGTAATTTTTTCCAAAATTTTGCATTTTTAAATTTAGCAATCAATTCTTTATTGAAATTATTGACTTCTTTAAAAAAAAATATATTGCTATAAATGCTATTTTTTAGTTTATATGGATTAACATCTCAATATAACATCAATTTTTAACTTTTTAATGAATTATTAATAATTTTTCGGTAATATAAAAAGTTAAATGAATATATAATGATATATTTAAAAGTGCAGTTACGAATAGTTAATATTTTTTATATGTTTTCATTTTATAATTATAAATTTGAGGTAAATATTTCCACATATGAGTAAATGAAATATTACTAAGAACAAACATGTTTGAATTTGATAAGAATAGGAACTTTGAGAATGATCTATGTTATATACAAATTAAGAATGATAAAGATAAAATTTCAGCATATACATTTAATCACAAATAACAATAATTTATAGAAAAAAAGAATGTATTAGATATTCCATAAAGTTGAATGATAAGATAAGAAATTAGATTAACTATTCCCTAATTTATGTGAATGAGAAAGTTTAGAGAGATTTTATTATTTTAAAATGTATATGATACTCTAGTGGTGGAAAAGTATTGTTTATTAAAAATTTGATGATTATGATGATTATTTAACCAACTTGATCGAAATGAATGTAGATGAAACATTTTTAAAGAGAAATAAGAATACTATATTTTTTAGTTTACTTTGTGGCAAACAATACAATTAATTTTTTATTAGAAAAATTTGCTTAAGTTTTAAAAAAACAAATAAATTAGATTCATTAATAAAAAAAAAAAGTATTTGAGAATGGATTAAAGTGACAATTTTGAATAAGATCAAGGACCAATGGACTATTATAAAGAATCGATTAGACTATATTACTACAATATTGTTTTACATTCTTATGTATATAATTAGTATTTAGTATTAGTTGGAAAGAGTGAACTAAGAAAAAAATGAGATTAAGTCTAAATTGTAAAAATTCTAAGTTTTAGAAGATTAAGAGAGTGACATATCATTAGAGGATAAACGTAAAAGGAATAGGAGAAGTGCAGTTGAAATTCCTAGAAGTCATGTATGTACAATCTCTAATTGCAATAAATCCTATGGATCTGAGGGTTCATTGATGTAACATATGAAGATCAAACATGGTATGGTGATGAATCAGGATAAAATTGGTCAAGTTCTTGATCAGTTTAGATTTCAATATAGTAGTAACTCAAACTGATTTTAATTAATATAATTAATGGATCAATGTTTTCTATATTCTAGAATAAGACGATTCTTCAAAGACTTATTTCAACGTGAAAAATCTAACTAAATTCTAACAAAAGTCAATTTAAAAAATGAAATTGCTAATCTTAGAATACTTTTAGGATCAACTCTTTATAAAACTAAATTTACATTATATTAGAATGTAGTAAATAACACTTTAAAACTGATGTTATTCTTTAATAAATATCTTTGCAAAAATATCCTTTCTATCCTAATCAAAAAAAAAAACTAAATTAATAATCTAAAGGTTTCATAAATAATTCAATTCATTGATTTACTTCACAAATTACTATTATCTTACCTGAGACATCAATAAGAAAGTCATGAAATCAATTTATGGCGAAGCAAATTATTTGTTGAAAATCATTTGATGATTCTTTTTTTTCTGTTTTTTTAATTTACTGAGATAAAAATGATTGAATTTGAACATGATAGAATAATGAACATTGTTTATTATCAATTTTTAATATTTTGTATTATTATTAATACAATTTATGAAAATTATATAGATCATTTAAATTAGAATTTTAGAGCATTAAATCTCATTTATTTAAACTTTCAAATAATTCTAATAGTCTTTGCTTTTCAAAAATATAGAATTAAATTATGTTATTAATTTATCAGCAAAACATAATCTTTAAAGCATATACAATTAAAAAATTTTATTTAAATTAAATGTTTTATTATAATGTTAATCTATTAATCATAATAATGTGGAATAATCAAATTAGTTCTCTATAATCTTCATAATTCTGGTGTGAAGGCTTGTAACTTAATAAATTAAGTTTTATTAGAATTTAAGTAAATAATATATTTCCATGCTCACAGGCTACTAAGAATTTTAAACTTTATCTAATTTTATTAATTATTTCTCTAGCTTTTTGGTTTATTTACTTCTAAAATCAATCCTTTTTGATTTTCCTTTATCATCATCTGAAAAATCATCATCATCTTTTAGATTATAATCATCATTGGAAGTATCTAATGTAAATTATCTTTAAGCTTTTTTGTCCATAAAATAATGAATAAAAAATCAAATAAATTCAGGATTTAATCTTATATATAAATTATCATGATATTTATTTTAAATTCATTTCAATTAAAACAATGATAAATTTACTACACAAACTTTGTAAATATAATCTTATTATTTTGATTATTTATAAATAATTAATTAATTTAAATTCCAAGAATCTTCTCATTGTTGTTTTTAATTTCAATTAACTATAATCTATAGATAGAATAAAATAAAAGAAATTAAAGTAAATAATTTACATATATACATGATTATTAATTTAAATTTATTATTAATTTATGTATTGACATAGTTTGATAAGTGCGAAAAATTCCCCAGAGGATGATAAAGCAAACTCTTGAGTAAATTAATGTGATTTAGAAAAACTTTTAAAAATAAGGCTCATTTAAACCTTTAAAGCCTAATTCATTATTTTAATTTTAGGGTAATGATCCTATTAATCCTAATAATACCATTTAATTAGTTTTAAAAGATGCAAAAAAATTAAGGAAGAATTTGAATAGTTTTAGCTTACAAATACTTTTATTTTATTTTTTAGTAATTCGAAATGATTTAATATTAAAAGGAAAGCTAATATAAAATTTGACTAGATAAAAGCCGATTTATATTGTTTCAATTTCTAAAGTTTCATTATAGTAAAATATTCATGGAATAGATTAAAATAATTGATATAAATTATTTATGTTAATATATCTGTGATTATAAAAATCAATATAAATAAATAATAAAGATATCTAATATTTGATTTTTTTATTCTTTTCTTAAATTCAGTGGAGCTGATTCCATCTTCAGAAATATTATATGACATGATAATTAGATGGTAAATTTCTATTTTTTATGAGATGATAAATTAGTTTCTGTAATTTAAATCTTAAATCTATTTATTTAAGCAGTCTAAAAATTGATCTCAAGTTTTTATATATGATAATACTTTCTATTATCCATTANGCTTTTTGGTTTATTTACTTCTAAAATCAATCCTTTTTGATTTTCCTTTATCATCATCTGAAAAATCATCATCATCTTTTAGATTATAATCATCATTGGAAGTATCTAATGTAAATTATCTTTAAGCTTTTTTGTCCATAAAATAATGAATAAAAAATCAAATAAATTCAGGATTTAATCTTATATATAAATTATCATGATATTTATTTTAAATTCATTTCAATTAAAACAATGATAAATTTACTACACAAACTTTGTAAATATAATCTTATTATTTTGATTATTTATAAATAATTAATTAATTTAAATTCCAAGAATCTTCTCATTGTTGTTTTTAATTTCAATTAACTATAATCTATAGATAGAATAAAATAAAAGAAATTAAAGTAAATAATTTACATATATACATGATTATTAATTTAAATTTATTATTAATTTATGTATTGACATAGTTTGATAAGTGCGAAAAATTCCCCAGAGGATGATAAAGCAAACTCTTGAGTAAATTAATGTGATTTAGAAAAACTTTTAAAAATAAGGCTCATTTAAACCTTTAAAGCCTAATTCATTATTTTAATTTTAGGGTAATGATCCTATTAATCCTAATAATACCATTTAATTAGTTTTAAAAGATGCAAAAAAATTAAGGAAGAATTTGAATAGTTTTAGCTTACAAATACTTTTATTTTATTTTTTAGTAATTCGAAATGATTTAATATTAAAAGGAAAGCTAATATAAAATTTGACTAGATAAAAGCCGATTTATATTGTTTCAATTTCTAAAGTTTCATTATAGTAAAATATTCATGGAATAGATTAAAATAATTGATATAAATTATTTATGTTAATATATCTGTGATTATAAAAATCAATATAAATAAATAATAAAGATATCTAATATTTGATTTTTTTATTCTTTTCTTAAATTCAGTGGAGCTGATTCCATCTTCAGAAATATTATATGACATGATAATTAGATGGTAAATTTCTATTTTTTATGAGATGATAAATTAGTTTCTGTAATTTAAATCTTAAATCTATTTATTTAAGCAGTCTAAAAATTGATCTCAAGTTTTTATATATGATAATACTTTCTATTATCCATTACTATAAAGCATTTGATATCATTTATAAATAATTTATATTTTTTTATTTCCACATGGTACTGAACCAATTTTCTAAGAAATCTTTTTGTATATTAATTCTATTATATTGAAGGATTAAAAGATTCACGAATATTGTATATTTTAAATGAGTTTTATTCATGAAAATGATTATAATTATTATAAAATCAATTAAGCCTCATTTTCATTCTTAGCCACCAACAAATCAATCCTTTCCAAATATTCTAATTCTTCTTATAATTTATAAATAATTTGAATTTATTTTGTTTCTCCTTTATTTAAATATTTTTAAACTTTTTCAGCCACATTTTCAAAAGGTTAAGAATTTTAATTTATCTAAGGAATAATTGGACCAGGAGTATTTCTTAATTATTCCCAATTAATGGATGCTAAAAAAGGATGATTTTTGATTTCATCAATAGAACCATATCCTAATCTCTATGTGTAATCTGGATGTAATAATTTTTTTAAAAGATCATAAGCTTATTCTGAAATTTAATCATCTGAATTAACACCTAATTCTGGCCAATCAATATTTCCATTCAATATATTTTAATAAATTTTATCAATAGATTCATCATTAAAAGGTGGAATTCCAACTAGAAACTCATATAAAATGATTCCAAGTGCCCAAAAATCTTGAGATTTATGAGAAAAAGATTAGCCTCTAATTATTTCTGGAGCAATATAATCTGGAGTTCCTATAATTCTTATTTTAGCATTTTCTTATAAAATTTTAGATGTTCGAAATGATTAACTTTTTTTCATTTAATAAATAGGGGATAGAGATGAATCACTTTCTGTAAAATTTTATTGACTACATTTCTTAATCATTTTTTTATTAATTCCCAATTCACTAAGACCAAAGTCTGCTAATTTTATATGTCCTTATTAATCTAAAAGTATGTTTTCTGGTTTTAAATCTCTATGAACAATATCATTATTATGTAAATATTCCAAAGCCATTAAAATCTCTGAAAAATAATGTCGAGCTATATTCTCATCAAAAGCCTAAAATAATCAGTATTATTTACTCCTTCATTTATAAGAATTTTAGAAAAATCTCCACCTATTAATAATTCTTAAACAAAACATAAAGATGATCCATGTTAAAAAGAATAATAAGCCTTTACTACATATTCACCACTTAAGATTTCAAATATATTTCTTTCTTATTTAAGTTATTCTAATAATCTTTCAAATTGTTTATTACAACAATTAATTATTTTCATTGCATATAAATCTCCAGTTTCTTTTCTTTTTACTTAAAAAACATTACCATAAGCTCCTTATCCTATTTATCTTATAAAAATAAAGTCTTTTAAACCAACATTGTTTTCCTTTATTTTATTTCTAATATCTAATTTGATAATTTCAGTATCTGAATATTATCCTCTTTAAAATTCAAGAAAACAGATAGATTCAAAATTCAAATCATTTTACTTATTTATAAATTTATTATCCTGTATAATATTACTAGTATTATCATCTGTTTCACTATCTGAACTTCCTATTTTCGAAAAATAACTTTTCTTTTTTATTTGTTATCTAAGTTTTGGTTTTTCTAAATTCTATTCTTCTTCTGATGAAAAAGTTGATTGTCTTTAAAAGAGTTTGGATAGTTTAACTTATTTCTTAAAATTATTAATTATAGATATAGATTTAAGTGGAGTATCTGATTGAGAAATACTTTTATTATCTGATTGTGTATCTTCGGAAAAACTTGATTGATGTCATAAATTTATACTTTGAAGAGTTTAAATATTCAGAAAATTAATTCATTCTGTTATTATTCTTACTATTTGATTTTGGATTGTCTTTACTGAACTTGCTTATTCTAAAAGATATGCTTGGAATGGTTTGAAATTTAACTTATATTCTTTGAATACTTCTTACTTTTATAACATAAATTCAATCTTTATTTTATAAGTCTATTCATTTGCTCTATCAAATTCAAAATATAAGGGTTACTTATTATTTGTTAGGCTTACATAAATTCTTTTTGAGAAATAAGATGATCTAAAATAGTGATTTATTTAATTACATTTAATATCAACCTCCTAATTTAATGTTCTCTCCCCATAAGAAATTAAGAGTTATAGTAACTTATATTCCCAATAAATTTCCTAAGTATACTCATATGACATCTAATCCCATATCAATCTAAGAGAATTAAGACTATTTAGATAAAACAATAATACTATTTTTATCCCTTTGTATGAATTTAGTGCTTTTTTTTATAAGCTTTTTCACAAATTTTAGCTACTTACAAACTCAATTTGATCTCCTCTTTTCTAAACTCAGCTTATGTTTTACAAGCTTCGTTATGTAATTTAAGAACACTTATCGTAATTGGCATACTGCATATTCTACAGATTATTTTATATTCCATTAATTTATTTAAAAAACTTAGTATGCATTAATCTGAATTTTTTGACCATAAGGAAAACTCTATAGAAGAAATAACTAATTTCTAAAATCAAGAACAAATTCAATAACTCACTCTAATTTAAAAGGGGTTACATTTAATCAAGGATGTTAAAAATTAAGATTTTAATATTTCCTAAAATTAAGGGTCACAACAAAGAAAATAACACTACTTTATTTAATTCTAATAGTACTAAAATGGAAATCGGAAATTAATATCTATAATACTAAATAATTAATGATTAAGTTTTTAGATCACACTTTAAATCTTTAATTTTATAATAAATTTTCCTACTAACCTTTTCAGATGTGATTTTGAGTATCTTTTAATAATATGAGATTTGGATTTAATATAAAGGTTATAGAAGGGGAATTTAAGGTCATATAAGTAGAATAACAATCTAAAGTTCATATATTAGAAAAAATTATAGATTTATATATAATATATCCTGTATCAATATTTATTCATTAATTTTAACTTATATTTATGATCTTAAATTCTGTTTTTCATAAAATATAATATTAATTGACAATCTTCTCTTATTTTATCAAATTTATTTATTAAAAGAATTACATTTTTATAGATTTTAGGTTTTAAAATAAAAGAAAAATCATTCGAGATTTAAGATTCACTTATTTCTTTAGATATAAGAGATAGTTTATAAAAGGTTTAACGATTTATTATTTTTGAGATTCGTCTTAAATTATTGGGCTCTTTTAAATTACATAGGCATTTTTAAATTGATAATTGAATTAGTATACTATCTGAATCCTTCTATATAAATTAGATTAAGATTTATAAGAAGGTTTATAATTCATGCAGTCCATTAATTATTTTAAATATTAATTTAAAACAATATTACTGAGACTTAAAAATTTGAGAAATAAATATAATTATTCATAATGATTAATCAGTATATTTAAAATTAATCACTGAAAAATAAACGAAAGTCATATTTAGGTTTTCGACTAACTTTCTGATAAGCTTTTAGCTGAATAATTAAATTATTCAATTTCTTCATTCAGAATTTCACATAAATCTAAATTCTTTAGAGCTGATGTATTCTTTTGGCGGATACTTTACAAAGGAGAATCATTTTCAATTTATTCCATCATCTCATCAAATTCAAATTTAGATTAACGGAGATTCATGTGCAATTCTCAAATTTAATTATTATTCTAAAGATAATCTAAAAATCCGTATGAAGGACATAAATATCTTATTTATGTATTAAAGATAATTTTACATAAAAAATTAGTTACCAAAGAAGATGTTTAATCTTTGTTTATAGAAGAATTTATATTATAATATAATCAATCTAAAATGTGGCTCTTGTTAACTTTACATATTAGTATTAGGTTTTTATAATGGTACAGATTTAGTTTATAAATTAGCAGGCCATACTTGATTACTATATTTTAATTTTCAAATTCTTAAAACTAATACTCTGTTCAAAAATCCATTATAAAGGATTTGTCTTTAAGATCAACACTCTTGCTCTTTCTTTTTTATTACTGTATAATTGAAAGTCTGTAATATATAGAATATCTTGAAAATTTAGATAGCAAATAATTAATTGAACAGCCTAGTTTTATGCTTTCTTTCTCTTTATTATAATCGCTAAAACTATTTTTAATTAATTTTTATCACTTGAATAATAAAATGATAAAAATTATTTATAAATACAAATGTTTAATGTTTTTTATAGACTAATGTTTAAAAGTTGTTTACTATTTTGTATTTATATGAAATAATATTATTCATTTATTATAAATTATTAAAGATTTAGATAATTTATTGATTTTTTTTTCATTCTCTAGCTAACTATAACTCTTGCCCTTCTACTATAGTCAAAAGGCATTCTAGTACTTAGATTTTAAATTTTGAATAGGTTTTATAATGATATTGAATTAGGCTTAATGTCCTTTGATATGTTTCATAATGAATTAAGAATATTTAAAGAAATCATTTCAGTATTTGAGTAGGGTTGTTGAGAATACATACCTCAAATATTAGAGATAATTAGCCTAAATGTGCTACTAGCATAATTTTTAGTTTATATAAAAGATATTTAATCTTTGCTCTTTTTGTTATATTAAAAATCATCTGTTATTCTAAAATCTATTAAATAAATTTTATAAGAAATGATACTTCTGTTGTGTATATTATTTATAAATATAAAATTTGCGAAAAATTTTATATTTTGCATTAATTTTTTCTAATATGGATAATCATTTAATAGGTATTGCTACATATAAATTGGTTGTAAATTCTTTTTGGATTCTTTTACATTAGACTAATAGATGTTGTTCAATATTTATAAATTCATCTAATCCCCAAACTAAATTATTTTGGGCATTTAAATAATTTTAGTTTTATTTCTCATATATTTAATATTAACTACATAAATCAAATTATGAAAATAAGAAACTTTCTCTCTTTTCAATATATATTGCAAAATTTAGATTAATAAATTAAACTCTACCCAAAATGTATTTTTATAATGTTGTAAAAAACTTTCTTTTATTGGATTTGAAAACTAGATTTTAGAATTTATTTATATTTTTTGAAAATATGCTTAAAATTTATCAAAAACATCTACACTTCTTTTTTAAGCAGTATTTTTATGAAATATTAATAAAAAACATCAATATAAAATAAGTGAATCAATATCAAAATTATGGGCAACTATCATGAGATGGCTGTTTATAATTTATCTCCTACTTATCTATTTTTGCTTAATTAATTATTACTATGTATGGACCAAGTAAGTCCTTTATTTTGAATGAATTTGGTATGAAAAGTATGATCAGAAGTATTAGTAGGCAAACGAGCTGCAGGGTATAAGTCATTATGATAAGGTTTTAATGTAAATTCATTTGGTGGAGAATTGGAAAGTGGAGGACTGAAAATTATTATTGAAATTTCTGCGCTTGGAGCCTTATTTTGAATGCATCCCATAAATCAAAGTATGATTTGCTAAATTTATTTATTCTAATAATTTATAATAAACAAATTTCAATTAATCCATTTAAAATAAATTATTAGAATAAATTTATAATAAATAAATACTCATTTATTTCATCAAGTAACTATATATTTTTTTAAGGCAATAAAAATCATTATTCATTTGAAAGCAATTTTAATTTTACAATTATTAGAAATCAAATAATTCTTATAAATAAATTTAATGTTGAAGAACATTAAATTTAATATTTATTAAAATTAATAATTTATACTAATCAATTATCCTATTATTCTTATTCTTAATTTTCTTCGTTATTCTAGGGTAGTATTGGATCTTATTATTCTTAAGGTTTATTAGGGCTTTATTTAATGTTGGATTTTTCTAATTATATAAAATCTTATACTTGAAAAAATAGGTTGCCTACTTTATTCAATTGTCTTTATTTCTTTCCATTAATTCACATCTTCTTCTAATTTTCTAGATGCCTCTAAACTATAAAATATAATATATACCTTATTTTCTCATTTTATTTGGTTATTTTTTAGCTTCAACTTCAATTAGATATCTAAATCTCAATTCAATTCCATTTTTATCATTTGGTAAAGCCAAATAAGTTATAAATGCATCTAAAGTTTACTCATTAAAATTTTATCCAGTAACATTATCTGTTCCTATAATATCATTTAAAGCTTAATAATTATCTAAAATAAGTGCCTCTTTTTCCATTTTCTTTTTTTCCTCTAATTCTTTTTTTGCTTCTTCTAATCGTTTTTCTTATTCTGATTATACCTCTTTAATTCTATTCAGCATAAATTCTTTTGTTTATTATGTTCTTTTAATTGGAGATTAATCTTAAGGTTATTCTTAATCCTCTTATTTTTAAGATTTTGGTTCTTTAATACTTTTTGCCAATTTATTAAAGAATTAATATCCTTTAATACTTATTCTAAATATAGCTTCTAAAAATTCAATATAATCTAATGATGCTGGTATTTCATTAGTTCTGTATGTAATTGCATTAAAAACTCTTATAAATTCAATTTATGATATTATATCAGGATATATTCTAAATCTTTCTCCAAACCACATCCATAATTTTAATGGAACTTATTTAAAATCAATCATTTCTATAGATTTATAATATTCTAATTGTAATAATTCGTATAAATAACTTAATTTAAAGTTATTATTTGTAAAAATAGTTTAATAATTTTGACTTCTAAATAATTTAACAATCAATTCACTTGTTGCTTTTTCTTTGACTTTAATTTATTCACCTTTCTTTTCAATATTTTTATAAAGAGCTTCATGCATTTTTTAATGATCAATTTCCATTTTTTTTCTTTCTTCTGCTGCCATTTAAATTTTAATTTATTCAGCTTTAAAGATTTCACCATATTATTCAATCTTTTTTTAATTAAATATTTTAAATGCTTCTTTCTTTTTTTGAATTTCTTCTGCTCTTTATTTTTTTTCTAAAAGTTCTCTTTTAATTCTTTCTTATTCTTCCTCTTTTTATTTTTAAACAATTTTATCTTTTGATTATTTCAAATATGCTTCTTATTCTTTTTTTTTTTCTTCTTAACGAATTTTTTTTGGATCTTTGACTGCATTCTTTGCTTCTTCTTCTTTTTATTTTTATACTCTTTATTCTTTCAATTTTTCTAATTTAGCCTTTGCTTATTCATGATTTTTTTAGAACTTTTCTTCTCTTACTTTAGCTTCTTCATCTTCCTTTTTCTTCTCTTCCAATTTATCTTATTAAACTTTATTAATAATATTCCATTTTCTAGTTATAGTTTTTTAATTATTTTCTACTGCAAATATCATATCTTCTAATACATCAGCTACTTATTCAACTAATAATTTTTATTTATGTTAATTAAATGGAATTTTAGCTAATTCTAATTTAATTCCCAAACTATATTATCTAAATGGTTCAATTTCTAAATTTCTTTTTGGTTATGTAGGCACATTTGTTAAAGATTACATAACAGATACTGATTTTCTCATCGATTTATTCTTCTATTCCATATAATGATCTTTCTCATAATTTTATTTAACTTTAGATTCTACATATCCTAAAATATTGGGTCTACAAACAAGTTAAAATTCTTTAGTTGTTATTGGTTCAATTAAATGACAATTAAAAGATTTAAATAAAATATCATCTAAAATTGAATATGCTATTGTATGTGAATCTGGAAATTCAAATGCATAATTAAATTTAATAATCTCTTCCTTTTAAGTTTTATAACCTTCAGGAAGAACATATTTAGGATCTTAAGCTAACTTTTTATTAAATTCTTTAATAACATCTTTTTAATCAAAAAACATATTATCTGGATCATCATAAAGTTAAGTTGATTATGCTTTAGCTGCTGTCACTTATCTCATTCTTTAAATCATCATCTCAATACAAGCATGTGGTTATATATATTTTGTTTTCTTTGTAAATAATATACATGAATATTAAGTAACAATATGTTTAAAACCTTCATAATTAAAACTAGTTAATTCATTCTTACATTTCAATAATTAAATTGCAATAGATCTTAATAAAGCATGAACTTATTCTCTTGATACATTAAATACTAATTCATAATCTTTAAGAAAGGCCCATAATTCAGGCTCATTTATTGTATCAGATTGATCTTTCAATTCATCAAAATCTTTTGGTTTTATTATTTTATTTCCTGAATTCGCATACTTAAAAAATACATATTTAAATATCTTATGATATTTTCTAAATAATTATTCAACTAAATAACGTTCTCTATCTTCTTCTAATTATAAATCCCATACTTCAAATTCTGTTAATCCATGTTTATTTTGTGGAGCTGCACTTTTAGATCCATCTTTAAATACTAGATTTGTTTCTCTATCTTTAGCTATTGATACACCTTATTCAATTGATCTCTTTTCTAATTATTTTCTTAGGTTCACTTTTTATTTCTATTAAGCTTCTTTCATTTATTCTATTTTTTATGCTTCATTTATTGTTCTATCATCAAATTATTTTTTTAAAACTTCAAGTTTCTCAAGTACTTTTGGATCTGCTTTAGTTGTTTTTAAAGAAGCCAATGAATATTATTCTTCTTTAGATAACTTAATAGATCCTATTGATCGAGAATTAAATGGAACTAATTCATCATCTTCAGGAGGTACTTATAATTTACTAGCTTATTATTCACGATATTCAATTTCATATTATTCCAATATTCTCTCAGCATTACCAAATAATTCTAATATTGCCATCATTCCTTTCGAATTTCTCTTACTAAATTATTTTATTTAAATATTTGTATGAGCAATCAATGGTTTTATTTTCTCATTTAACAATTATTATTAAAATTAAATAATTGTTCTAATTATTTCAACAATTTAATTACGCTTCTAAGCTCCTATTGCATCTTTTGCTTATCTCTTTTTCTCTGATGCAAAATACATAGCCAATGCTATTTTAACAAACTTTAATATAAATTCTTACATTGTTTAATTCTCTACATTTTTAGATAATATATTAATAATAATTTCAGAGGACAAACTTTAATAAACAAGATTATTTAAAAATATTTTTGCTAAAAAGTCAAGTAATTAAATAGCATTCTTAATTCCTATATTAAGATTTGATATAAACATAAAGAAATGCATATCAAATGTATTTAAAATATAAGTGACACCTTCTGATGTTTATAACTACTTAATTAAATTCTCAAGTACTAAATTTATGGGTACTGATTCCATTGTAGAAAATATGTGTATGAAATTATTCAAAATATATTCTCTAATTTATTAATTATCATGATTTTCAACTAATGATAAAGTTAAACTAAATATCATATATATTTAAATTACTTCTTGTAGATTAATGGAGCAAAATTACTCTTTTATAAACTAAAATGATTAAGTAATTTAAATAAATGATTTAAACACATTAAGGAAAGTGATTATGATTTATCTCTAGAACCTTTTTTAAGAAGTGTAATAATTGTATTAGTTAATGACTCATCTAATTCTGTATTTCCAAGAACTTCACTTAAAAAGTTAAGTGAAGATATTCTAGTATCAGTTGAATTTTTAAATTCATTTTCAGCTATACCTATAGCTTAAGTAACCCAATCATTTAAGATACCAGTTGATACTAATTCCTAATTCGTACTTAAAGGCATATAAATTAACTCAATTGAATTAATAAATTCTTTTGTCTCAGGTAATACATTTCTAATTCCTGTTGTAAATACTTCAACAAAATTATTTTTAGCAAACTATTATATCATTTCAACATGAAAAGACACTAATTCTGGATGTCTTCTCGCACCCATCAATACTGTATGTAGACCTCCTTACTCTTCTAAAAACCATTCTCTTAGTAATTAAACTGGTATCATTGAACCTAATCTTGTAAACAAACGAACAGACTCATATGCTACATCAAATGATTTAGATATTAAACCAGGTTTAAGAGCCTTTTAATTATTTTATTAAATAATACTTAAAATGCAAAAGCAAGAGATTTTTTAGTAGAATCCTCATTAAATAATTTAATTAATTAATTTCCATTTGCATAAGTTTCTTTATAAAATGCAACTATTGGTTCAAATACTCCTTTGACTCCTTTTGCCAATATGTGAGCGAGATATTTATTATTATTTGTAAAGAGAGCTGCAGATTATTTAATCGACAGTTACAAGTTCTTTGCTAAAGCTACTATAAAGAATTCTAAACAATTAGATGTTTTATTTAGATCTTTTTTTGGATCTAATTTAGATAAATCAACTTATTAATTAGCTAAAATACTAATACATCATACCTTAAGATATCTTGCTATTAGCTAAAAGTTTAGTATTTCCACCTAAACTTAAAACAGAATCATCTAACATTTAAGATTGCTATAACATTTATGATTGTTGTTAACCTCTATAATATTTATCATAAATCTCTAATAGTAATTGATGAATCATTTCCTTGTCACCTCCAAGAATCAATGCTTTTGTATCTTGATCAATCTGGATATCGATCTTCTGATATTCTTCACATAATATCTTCCAATTATATAAGATTGAAGATTTCTACTAATTATCTTTCAGTGTGTCTAACTTAGCCAAAGGAGTGGAAGGCCTTTTTAGAATGATTAATAGAGGAACCTATTTCGTAACTTCACAATTTCCTTAAGCAATAGTCCAAATGCTATGCCATTTTCTAATTGAATTAATGAAGCTTTAGTAATTTCTACTTTGTCTGCATATTTCTTTCCATCCTAAGGTAGCACTTTTAATGAACAAAGCCAATTATATAAATTTTCCTTAATTTACATATTATTATTATTAATATTATTTTAATAAAATATGATAATTCAATTAATTATTTTATTCTTTTTTTAATTTTGATCTCTCAATTCTTTATATAGTCTATTCTGCTCATCTACTATAATATTCAATACTTTAATATAAATAGATGTCTTTTTTTTAATATCTTCATTGATTTAAATCTTTTTAGTATTTTCTTATACCATTTCTTCTTTTTTTTGTATTTCTAATTTTTGTTCTGTTTTTGCAATTACATTTTCTACTTTTTCTGATTATCCCTTTAAAAGGAACATCAACAAGAGGACCCCAAATAATAAGAATACACCAATTCCCTTATTCTAAGATATGTAAAAGAGTCTTAGAAATAAATGAATGTATATATACTCTCATTTTTTAAATTATGATAATATACACATAAAGGTTATGTCTACATTTCATGTTAAATATTTTATAACATATTTTAAGCTCTTCATCTTCTAGTTTTAATAAAAACCAAATTTTCTGCTATTTCTAAATAGAATCTTGTAATCTACCATTTAAGTGATCCATTATTGATAAGATCTTCATATAATCAATAGATTATGGATAAATAATAGGGTTACTATGCAGCTAAATCAATTGAAAGAGTAGTAGAAATTCTTCTATAACTTCTTAATAATGAGGTGGAAGTGGTTTTGGTGAAATCATAATTATCTGGTTTCTTCAGCCATAGCTTCATAATATCCAAGAGTTTACATGAAATATTTTTAAAGTAATTTCAATTAATTTCGGATTTCTTGCATATTTTTGGATAGTTTTATGTATATTTATATATATATTATAATATATTATATTATAT